GTAAAACCTCTTACCGATATTGTTAATTTATCATTATCATCATCAACCTTCCCTGGCCGTCTTAAGGAAGCTCAAGTTGCACCTATTCACAAAAAGGATAGTGTATTAGAAAAAGGAAATTATAGACCGGTAAGTGTATTACCGGCCATTTCTAAAATTTTTGAAAATGCCATAGAAGTACAATTAGTACATACAGTACTTTGATAATATCTTCAATCCATTTTTGGCAGCTTTTAGATCAGGTTTTGGATGTCAGTCAACTTTATTAAGAGTGATTGAAGATTGGAAATTAGCCTTAGACCTAAATAAATACCTTGCAACTATCCTTATGGACCTGTCAAAAGCATTTGACTGTCTCCCCCATGACTTACTGCTACTGAAACTAAAAGCTTATGGTCTTTCCAAATCCTCACTTGATATGTTGTATAGTTATTTAACAAAAAGAAAACAGTGTGTGAAAGTAAACCAAACTTTAAGTGGTATGCTTGACATATTTAAAGGGGTACCACAAGGTTCCATCCTTGGACCCATCCTATTTAATATTTTTATAAATGATTTGTTCTTTTTTGTAAAAAATTGTTCTTTATATAATTATGCTGATGACAATACTTTGTCAAAGTCTGGAAATTCCTTACAAGATGTAATTTCAGCTCTTGAGGAAGACAGCAATTATTTAATACAGTGGTTTTCTTCAAATAAAATGCAGGCCAACCCAGAGAAATTTCAAGCTATCTCTCTTGGCAAAAAAACACATGATAAAAAGATTGTGTTTGATTTGAATGGTATTTCTATATCATGTGAGGATGAGGTAAAACTACTTGGAGTTACAAAGAGTTACAATTGATTTTAAATTAAACTTCTTTTTACATATCTCAAATATTTGTAAAAAGGCTGCAAGGCAATTAAATGTTTTGAAAAGAATTGGGAAACACCTAAACAAACTGAGTAAACTTACAATTTATTACTCTTTTATTATGTCAAACTTTAGTTATTGCCCTTTGACTTGGCATTTCTGTGGAGAACAAAATACCAGAAAAATAGAAAAAATACAAGAACGAGAGCTTCGCTTTATTTATGAAGACCATCAGAATTCATACGAAACACTCCTGCAAATTTCAAACCTTCCATCACTAAAAACTCGTAGGATGCGCTCAATTGCCTTGGAGACCTTTAAAATAATTAATAAAAAATGTCCATTATTTATTCAAGATCTAGTTGTTATAAAAAACAATTCATATAATTTCAGGTATGTGAACACTGCTGAGGTACCAAGACCTAGAACCTCAAGTTATGGTAAAAGATCCTTTAGATTTGAGGCAGCACAAGTATGGAACTCCCTTTCCAATGAGGCTAGAATTATGACCTCTTTTGACCAATTTAGGAATTATATAAATTCCTGGTGTGGGGGTCAAAAATGCAACTGTAGTTCATGCCGTTTCCATCCAGTGCTGTCTCAAAGCTGAAATTTCTTTCTTTCTTTTTATTTTTTATTATGGCCTTTTGCTCTGCTTTTTTATGCATTTATTATATATACCTGCTATTAAATGCCAGTGCTTAATAATTTATTTATTTATTGCTTTTATGCTTTTTAGTTTGTTAGTATTTTAAGATATTTAAGTGATTTGCTGGTTCCCCCATTCAATGCACATAGAGGTGCTTGCCGCATGAGCTTTGACTCTGGAGGCTCAGAAATCAAAATTAATTTGCTTTCATTATATTTGCATGCTTTTTCATTTTTATTTATTAGTATTTGCATGATGCTGCATGACTTTTATGTGATAGTCGGTTAAAGAGCTCACCAGAGCTCATGTTTTGTCTGTTATTATGTATATATGCCGACTCTAAATAAAATTTACTTACTTACTTACTTAACACCAACTTCGATGTAAACCTTAGACAAAGTCACTGTACTGTGGACTCATGACTTTTTTCTTGTCATACATAGAATCCCTTAGATGTACCTACATACAAAGTAAAAAGATTATTAAAAAGGAATTGCTGAGATCTCTGAACATTTTGACGGCATAATTCTAAAATGTTATATACAAAATATATCAATATTGTGTAATTTTAACTCCTTCTGCATATAGTATTATATATCAATAATTTGTTGAATCATACAGGTAATTGAGCTGAACCATTAAAGTTGTCTTATTATACACATATTAAGGGTTTTACATCTCAATGAAGGAACAAACAGCATTAAATGTGTCCATTTCAAACTTGATCAGTGGTTCATTTCCCTGAAATAAACTCATATAATTGAACAAAACCTCAGACTTGTCTATTTTAAACATGATTTAGTGGCATTACTCTTAAACTTACCATCTCAACATTGTTAAATTCAAATTCAACCTGTTTTTCATGTGTATAATTAAGGAGCCACAAATGTTTCAAATCAAGATCAACATGTTAAGTAAAACTCCTACTGAATGGGAATTTTCTTTTTTTCTTTCCATTTGAATTTAGGTATTTGTTTCTCGCTTGTGAAATGATTTGTGTATTTGTGAGTAGTTTAATAATAGCAATTTTAAAATGTTTGTGGGTATGTACAAGTGTGTTTAGTTAAAAAGTTAAAGGAAACAGTAATTCATTTGAGATTCCTGGTTACAGTACACTTATGTCCTTTCTTCTTCATTCTCTAGGCCAGGTGAGCTAAAAATGGTAAAATTTATCATTTAAGGGTAATAACTCCTATAAGAAGTCGTCTGACAGTTTTGACATATAGGAACAATTGGTAGAGCTCAACATTCTGAACATTTTTGCCCTGTCAGATTTCCTCTATTTATAACGGTTTTCAAAATAATACACAAACCTTGCATTTTATCCCTATGCTCTTTTTTTAGCCATGTCGGCCATCTCAAGGTGGGGTCATCGGACACATTTTTAAACAAGATACCCCAATGATGATTGTGGCCAAGTTTGGTTAAATTTGGTCCAGTAGTTTCAGAGGAGAAGATTTTTGTAAAAGTTAACGACGACGGACACTGGATGCAAAGTGATGAGAAAAGCTCACTTGGCTCTTTGGGCCAGGTGAGCCAAAAAAAGGGAGTGGATTGATGATTTAAGATTATCTTCCCATGGAAATTTAATAACAGCATATTTTACATTCACATTTATTTTACTGAATGTTACATGTTTTAGTTCAAACTACAAAATACAAAAGATGTTTTTAAAAATAGGAAATGTATAAAAATTAAATTTGGACACATTTATTGCAATCCAAAAATTACTACCACACCTTTAAATGACTCATTACAATAAATATATGAATATAAATTTTCAACAACACTTGATAACAGCCATGAAGTGGTATTCAAGTCTTGTAGCTTTGTAAGTATGATTTAATTTACTGTGTTTATCCTATGTATGGTCTGTCTTCTATTTCATTAAGGCAAACTAGTATGCTTAGAGGGGCAATTAATTTTTTTCACTTTTTCATCAATTTTCCACTTAAGGTGGTACCTAACACTACAGGGAGATAACTCTGTAAAAATTAACTAAACGTTTTAATCACGTTGTATTGTTAAGGAAATATTAAGCTTCTCAATGATCAAAATTAGTGTTTGTCAAACTGCTATATAACCAGTGAAATTTTTCTGATAAAGTGGTTGGTTCAAATTATTTGAAATTTTTATATTTTTGTCAAAGGGTCAAAGTAAACATTTTGTCAAAATTTTAGGAAAATTAAACGAGCCAAATTAATATTAGTCAAGGTGTTGGGTACCACCTTAAGTAAATGTGTAACAATCCGTAATGGAACAATCTAGCTATTATCTAAAACCAATTCAACTAAGCAAGGATTATAGTCACTGCCTAAATATTTTTTGATACTTTTAAAATGTCAGTTATCTATAAAGAAAAATTGTTTTATTTTTGTAATAGAAAAACTCTTTAAGGGGAATCCCTTAAAAATTGTGTAGAGGTTCCTCTGATCCCGGGTAACCTGCCAGGCCTGTGGGAACATATCCAAATGCTTCTTCTAGAGGTGCACTGAATGGAATGAAACCAAACATGGCATAAATGTTTCTTATGAGGTTCTTTACAAGTATGGTTAAACACATACACAAAATTTTGTAACTTAAATATCTGAGTACTGTAGATTCAAAAATGATTGTGAGATGTTTATTAATGCGAATATTGCAACTGTGTGAGTATCACATTTATGAGAACTTGCATTTTGAATTTGATATATATATCTGTAGTATTTCTGTACGCAGATTTTCCTGAAATCGCAATAATTAAACTCGCAGTGATGTCCATTCATCAAAAGTCACAATAATAAATGCACGCATTAATTTCTGAATTTACAGTATATATTTCATTGATAAATGTCTTGATATGTTCTTAGATAGGATGTATAGAATACTGTGTTCAATGCACTATGTTTTATTTCTTTCAAAAGTAGTGATACAGTCTGGAAAATGGATAACTACATTTTTGGCCACATTAGGATTTTGATATCATGAATGCAACCTTTACCCCAAAAAGAAAATGGTAAAAACATTTTTTTTACTAACAGTGACCTTGAACTGTTACCTAGTGACCACAACATTGATCAGTTTTTCCTCTGCTGTATCTTCATTCTGTATTAATTTCATTTCAATAAAGAAAGAAAATCTCAAGGTATAATCCAAAACCCATTGGTTTCATACCGATGTACACACAGAGAGACAGATGGATTGATAGACAGACAAAGCAAGGACTATACTCTCCCTAAATTGTTCTTCAAAGAGCATAAAATAAATTTATGTCCATAAGTCACCAGGCCCTGCTCACACTATAACATTTCAATATTCAGTCGACAGAGAAATCTGGGTTAAAAACTTCCAAATTAAGTAGATATTTTAAAATGTTCATTTCATTAGTTTGACATATATTTTTAAAACATTCACATGTGTACTAAGTTAAAAGTTGATGTAACCACAACTTCAATGTAAATCTTAAACCAAAATGATACAGGACTGACGAACCGACAATAATATGAAACAACAAATGTATCTTCTTCTTGAGATATTAAATGATTTTATTCAAATGTTTTGCACAGTTGATATTTTCAGGTATACAATTAAATTTTACACTATTCTGCAAAACAAACCTTAGAAAACAAACATGTACAAATATCAGAAATAACTATGAAATTAGTTCATTTAAAGATATTGCAAATAAAACTGTTAACACAGAGATATGTCTCATCTTGTTTTCTAAAAGATTTAGAAAAAATATCAATTTGACTGACTATGAAATATCATATACATTGTGTATATGCATGGAAATTTAAGGAATTTATATGAATTTGACACCCTTCTTTGATTTGTTAGAACTTCTTTTTATTTACTTAATTAATTAGTAATCATTTCATTTGATCAATCAAACATTTAACAGCCAAGAAACAAGGGCTTGTAATTGAAATGCATAGTTGCTACTACATCAAAATACAGGGTAACATAGATCAAGTACTTCTTCATAGTCTTGATAATTAGGCATAAACGTAACAAACTGTAACGTTAGTGGAACATAATGAGGGCCTGACATTCTTCTTGAATTTAAACTATATAGATGACATGTTTACTAAATTTCATTGATCTATCTTTAGAACCAATTCTGAAAAGGACAAGATTGGAAAACTTGGCATAAGATGTTGACAAAGCTAAAGCCAAATATGTAAAACTTATGTCTTGCCTCCAGGAGTGAAAGAAAAATAAACACATCTAAATCATACAACTGATTATAGAATGGAATCTTTATCTCGATACTTAAGTATGATGGGAAACAATCTATTTAACAACTTTTAACAAATCTGTAAAAAATTACTGAGTACCCTGATTATAGAAGGTGCTAGTAAGAACACTGAAAACATATACCTTTTGTACTAACATTTACAGAATACAAAACACAATCTCTTCTGTCAATACAGAAAATCAGCTATCAACCTTTTTTTTTTCTTGCAAGTAGTGTCTTGACACCAACGTTAATGATCAAAATCATATGATTTGCACCCTTTTTGCATGATTTAAATATTTCATACCTGAATGGTTTAAAATAAGGCTCTTTGGACATATCCACAAAACAAGTTAAGAAAATTATGTTAAAAGATGAATGGTTTAAGTTAACTACCTAATTTCCTAGATGTGACTGGTTTTGAATATTGCATGATTCATATGAATAAGAAACAAACAAGCAAATGATTGTACAATTTAAAACATATGATATGGATTAACAAAAAAATAACAATTAAAAAGTTATAACAAGATATATTAAATAAAACAAATATACATATGTAACAAAATCAGAAGTATTTGAAATATTTAATGCGTAAAACTACATATTATATTTTTTCATGTATTTTATTTTAGTTATTCAATGCCGTCTTTCTTTTCCTCTGTTTTTAATCAATAGTTAAAGAGTTTATCATTGTTAACTGCCTTGGCATAGTTGGAGTTTATCATTGTTAACTGCCTTGGCACAGGTTGTATCATCTTCATACCTAACAAGAATGTAAAAATAACACTTTTCTTTGTTAATTTTCTTTTTGCATTTATAAAGCAAGTAAAAGCAATTTACTGTTGTTGATACAGATTCAAATCCTTGCAGCTATTAAGATCATGAAACTACAATTTAAAAATGATAAACATGCCTCATGAGTCTGATATGATAGTATGATAGAGATAATTGCTTCCTTTGATGGACAAAACTAATCTTTTTTACACTTAACATAAAAGATATAATACATATTGATCATTCCAATAGCCCTGTAGTCTGAATTAAGTTACTTGAAAATCCTAAGCAAAACTGTGGCTCTTAAATATTTAAGACATAACTAGTGTATTGCTTTTGGGACAAATTCCTTAAAAATGATAAAAAAAATCTGAATTTAGCTAGTCCCTTTATCAATTTTTCTAGATCCTAATTCAACCATAAAAAACAATCAACTAAACTTGTAACAGTGACTGCTGATTCTTGAACCCATATGACTAGAATTATCAACGTGATTTTATAATGTTTTAAAGTTCATTGTATATAAATTTCATTGAAATCATTAAAATATTATCACATGTGTTCACAAATAAATGACAAAAATGATGACAGCAAATTGCAGTACAACTTCAAGTGAGACGTAAAATTGGAAACAACCTTAAACTTAGACAAATATCTTTTAAGTGAATCTGAAAAAAAATATTTAGACACATGATGTTGTTTATAATAAAACCTTTCTTTTTGAACATGATGTCTGATTGATTGTTGGTTGCTAAACGTCCAGTGGCAAATATTTCATGCATGTTTTTGAACATGAGCTACTGGTTGTATTTTGTATGAGTTTTAAACCTTTAAAATGTAATGTATGGTGTCAAAGATTTAAAACACCATGGATGTCAGCGGAAAGACTTTGTAGCATGATTATTACCCAATAATCCACATTTTTTTTATGAGATTAACACTACCTCAAGTGCTTACATAATGGAATTGCAAATAAACCCAGTCAATTAAACTGAATAACATTCTTCTCTTAATGGATATTTTCTTAATAAATTTCCAATATTCTTTCTCCTCATGGCACAAACATACAATTATGACAATACAAGTTTAATGAATGTATCTATCACAGAAAATATATGGTTTCATATTCTTGTAGACAGTGCTAAACCATTCAACATTCTGGAATTCTTCTTATTTGTCTTTCAGTTCTATTTATCAACTATCAACTTTTCTTTCGATGTTCTTCTTTCCAGGCTTCAATCTTCTCCTTAAGTTCTGTGTGTGGTATAACCATATCTAATGATAATGCCTCCCTGTTGAATGGGTCATTCTGATCGCTGAAAGAAAGCATAAAAAATTACAGTTAACTCTCGTTGTCTCGAACTCGGTTGACTCGAAATTTCAGATGAGTCGAAGTTTTCTCACGGTCCTGAACTTTGTTCCATATAAATATATGTATTTCGACTCCTGATGAGTCGAAATTGGATGAGTCAAAATTTCGGTTGACTCAAACTAAATTTACGGTCCTAAGGTTTACAAAACCATTCAAAATTCATATTTATCTCGAACTAAAACACATATGTCAAAACATGACCTTGGGGATTTAAATGGACTGAAGAGTTAATCTGATAATACAGGTGTAATTAAATTTCTTGCCACTGACCACTGTATTGATTTATGACATGCTTTTTCCACGAGTGTTTACCTAAGATTATCTTTGATCACCATGATAAATAATTAGTGATACATTGTTACAGTTTATGAAAAATTATTTAAAATGTTTGAAAACAATTAATCGTAATCATATATAATGAGCTTGGCTGTGTATAAAGTGGGGATTAAGACTTCCGTTGGTGATCAACCCAAAACTACTCAATCAGCGTCTTTATTTATTTTTTTTTGTATTTTCTCTTGCAGAAAAATATTTTAATGAAAGAAAATTTAAAGAAATCTAAATTTTCTAAAATCTCTTGTATACAAGAATGAACAATTTTGTCAACTTTAAAATAACGCTAAGATCGATTGGAAATGACTCTCTCGGCTAAAAGACACAGGGACAAATTGTATCTGTACAAAGGAATAAATAAGAGACATAAAATGTTATTATAATAATAAAAGACCATAACATACAAAAACATCAATCTGAGACCAGAATATTGATCCCCTTCCCATCCGGATTTATTTTAGCCTTATCAAGCTAAGCAAGAGTTATGTCCCTTGGATTGTCAAACTTCCGGTTTTCGTTTGAGTCGAACTACGGGTATCTCGAAATATTTCTCTGGTCCAGCTGACTTCGAGATAACGAGAGTCGACTGTACTTCAAAGGTTGTCCTAGTTACTACTTTAAACATGTAACTATTACAAATTAGAAAAGACCTCTATTTTCCTAAAATTACAAAAATCGGAACACTGATAAACTAAATGGTCTTAGGAGCCTGTATCATGTATCTGGCTATGGTAGATCTATCTACGAAATTGGGCACCTAATTAAGTGTCTGACTATTGTAGATCTATCTACAAAATGCTGTACCTGAATAAGTGTCTGGCTATGGTAGATCTATCTACAAAATAGGGCACCTGAGTAGGTGTCTGGCTATGGTAGATATAGCTAGAAAATTAGGCACCAGAGTTAGTGTCTGGCTATGGTAGATTTTCCAACAAAATGGAGCACCTGAGTAAGTGTCTGGCTATGGTAGATCTATCTACGAAATGGAGCACCTGAGTAAGTGTCTGGCTATTGTAGATCTATCTACCAAATGGAGCACCTGAGTAAGTGTCTCGCTATTGTAGATCTATCTACCAAATGGAGCACCTGAGTAAGTGTCTGGCTATGGTAGATCTATCTACCAAATGGAGCACCTGAGTAAGTGTCTGGCTATTGTAGATCTATCTACCAAATGGAGCACCTGAGTAAGTGTCTGGCTTTGGTATATCTATCTACCAAATGGAACACCTGAGTAAGTGTCTGGCTTTGGTAGATATATCTAGAAAATTGGGCATCTGAGTAAGTGTCTGGCTATGGTCGATCTATGTACTACATTGAGCACATGATTATCTGAGTGTCTTTTAAATCTATCTATAATATAAAGCACATATAATACCTGAGCAAATGTCTAGCTATTGTAGATCTGTCTACAATGTTCCTTGAAGAAGGTAATATCACCGGATCTTTCATTAAAGTTCCCATAATTTCATCTAAGAATTCTTCAGGAGGATCAGCAAATAGTTCTTCATCTGCTTTCTGCTGTAATCTTAGTTTCTAAAAAATAAAAACTTCCCAGTCATATAAACTTAAATACTTTCTCATACTGCTTATGAAATTTTAAAACTAAATCCTTTAGAGGTGTGCTAATTGATAGTTTAGTCTGGGATGACAGGGTTTGTTTGTTAGTTGAAATTGAGCTTTGAACTAGCTTTCAGTAATTGCGAGTAATTAATAACACGGTACTTTGATTCTTTTGACTTTATGTTATTTGATTTTGTGTTAAATACAAATTGGATAAGTTGAGCCCTTTTCAACTGTTCGGTTATTCTTATGTTGGGTTGTTACACCACTGTCCATGGTAAGAGAAAGAGTTGAACACTAATAAACAAGTTTAACAAAGCCACATTCTGTATGTGCCTCACATGCCTGTCCCATTAGATGTACTTGATACTTGTGATTATATCAGCCTAAAGGCATCATGTACCACTACTGAAAAATGGCAATGCAGGAAATTTCAGATTGTTATCTACATTTTAATGGAAAATGCATTTACCTGATTTTTGGAATGAAGATTTTCCATATTTTCTATCATTGAAGCAGGTTTATGTATTTTCTTGAGAACATTAATAGCTTTAGGAAAGAGATCATCTGAGTAAGATCTTCCATCATTTACAACAGCAATACAAAAGTTTACATCCTCCTCTAGGTTGAGATATATCTGTGATATATCAGATACTGTCTGTTGAGGTTTAAACTCATATTCATCTTTGTCTTTTACTTTGAAATTTCTCTGTTTTGGTCCAACCTGCAATAATACATTTATAAATATCAATTGATAGTAAAATTCATGAATTACAAGATTTAACATCTGAGCTTTTAAGAAAATATAATGAAGAAGACTACATTAATGACAATTCAGTTAAAATTGCAGTATATGCATAACACTTTAGGATTAATGTTGTATCTTTTTGTAGTATTAGCTGTTGTATTTAATGGGTTTTTGTAATAAGTTTTGACACAGTGAAGCTGTGCATTATTGAATAACAGTTGTGCCAAGAGCGCATAATACAGCCTTATTGTGCATATTGAAATTGTTGCAAGAATAAAATGGGATATTTTGCAGGCTTTCAATCATATTGTCACCAATTCCAACAATTATGTAAAGTTGTACACAGAATCAATCAAAGCAAACTCAAGTTGTGGTACAATATGTGAAAAATTTAATAAATTCTGACAATTACAGTCCCATAACTTCGGGGCAATCTTTGTGTTACAGTATAAGAGTATGGTTGGTATTCTGTGTCTTACTGCCCTGATGGCAGAGCATTGAGGCAAGACCTCTTCCTCATTTTTTAATGTATGACACATTTACTACAATGGTGAGGCAGAATTTATTGTTTGTTTTTATTTCATTTTATTGTATTTTCCTAAATATTTTAATAAAGTTTTTACTGTTACTTACTAAATTGACCAAGAAGTAATTCAACATTCCTGAGATTCGGTCAACCATGGAATTATGACAAAATATAGATTTGATCTCCCTAGTCAATAGTTCTAACATATGTATAGTATGATTTCCCATGACATTGTGATAACGAGCTATCATACTAAGTTGTCGTAGACTCATTTCAGCTTCCTGTCTTTGTTCGGGTGTCATACTGGTCCATTCTCCTTGTTCTTTGGCTTGTTCCTTTTCTTTGATTTGACTCATGTACTACATTGAAAATAACAATAGAAATTTTATCTTGAAGCTACTTTTGTATTTTCTTCCATTTAATTAATTTTATTTCAAACTAATGTTTTTTTTATTATTTTTAATCCTATTTCAACTGTGCTTTCTCTTTGAAAAAATGTTGATCTTTTTACCCTTTAATTCTGATCACTTACAAATATTTAAGAACTGTTAATATTCAAAATCAAAATAATGCATTGTGAGAAAAAAAAATTTTTTGTCACATTACCTCAAACATAAATAAAGATGAAGTGATAAAAAGGTGTTTGAACAGATAAAACATTAATTATACAAATTTTACTGCACCAGATGCAAAAAGTTATAATCATGCTGATATCAATTACTAAGAGAAAATGTGTTATTACTTCAATGTAGGTGACAAACCATATAATTTTTTTGTTAACTTTCATTTTTTAGGTTGATCTCTGATTGAAGTTTACCCACAATGCTTTGCTTTAACAATATCTATAAATAATCATACATCTAATGCCTCATCTAGCAGGAAGATAGCATCATTAATGAGGAGATTTATAAATCTCAGGAACAAAGGTGCATCTGTTGCTTCTATATTCTCTTCTGCAAATCGGGATAAACTCTGAAATATATTTTTTGAAAATTCTTCAATTGGATTTATTGTAATTTTTTCCTTTTGGTTTTAAACTTTGATATTAGTTTAGTTTGTTTATATTTTGTTTTTGGGATTGTCTTCACGAAATCAATGTTTCCACTGTAAAGGGTTATCTCCCCCTTAAGAATAAATTGTATTGTAGTCTAATATTTCATGTCATATATTTATGACTGATATCTTTTAAGGATCATGATAAACAAAGTAGATGAAATGTAAACTAAACTGACTAGCAGAAAAAAAATATGGTATGAATGTCTTGATATAAATTCCTTTTTTGCATTAAAACCATGCTGTTCTTACAATTCTGTGCTGCATAGAATTCAAATAGAAATATAAAGTAATGAACTGGTGAAGTCTCAAATTTCTTTGGTACTCATCTTTTGTGTAAACTTACACTGTATTTATAATAAAATGTCCTTTTGAATGTTTTACATCAAAAATAGTTACATGAAGAAGGAGGGAGAGGGAAACTGGGAAAGATAAATACATATTTACTTTTAAAAATATTTTATATAAAATAAGTTATCTTATCCCATCATTTTGTGATTCATGTTTAATATGTTTCTTGTGTTTTATCAACCTACCTTAATGGCATTTTTATGTGATTCTATTTCCCATATATGTTCTAGTACTTGATACATAGGTCTTCTGTAATTGAATTTCTGTTCAAACTGTACACTTTGGCCTGTCATCTCTATACTAACAAATACATGTAGTAACTTTTCTGCCAAATGGTCAATTAATGGATGCTGTACAAATAACTGTCCTTTGTAATACCTGTAAAAATATGGGAACAATCTACCAGATGAACAAATTGACCAGAGAAACTATTGTTCTATTCTGGAATATGACAGCATTTTTGAAATTATTCAGGTTTTTTTTATAAATTGCATTTGTTTTTTTAATTTCAATTTTTCGGTTAGCGTGAAAGTTTTGAACAGTGCTTTTCTCTTTGTAATTGCAGATATTATCATCTCGTGCTTATTCTTTGCAATTGCAGATATTATCATAAAAACACATACATGAGATATTAATGTGTATCTGACATTACACAGTAGCAAACAATTTCTAGTTTTACAGTTCAGATAACTATATTTACATACTAAGCAATGGAAAAGATTCTGAAGATTTCAAAATTTCAACTAAATCAGACAAAATTATAATGGATGTATTAACCTTGATAAAAGAGCATTTTTCTGTGCTTGATCACAAATTAACAACAATGTGAAATAACAATGAAACCTGATTATTTACCTTGACATTAGAGCTCTGTTCTGGGTTTGTTCACTAGGTAACAACATAGCTAAAGTTTCAGCTAATTCTGCTCTCAAATGCGGGTTCTTCATACGATCTGGATTACCCATATATACCAATATCAATGTCATAAAATGGCTTAGTTTCTCACCAACAAACTGAAAGTTAATGATAAAATATTGTTTGTTTTTAGGTTGCTTTATACAAATACTATATCTTATTCAGGATGACTTAAAGAACTTGAATTGATGTGTACAGATACTTAAATGTTATTATTAACCTATTTTATTGTGTTTCTTTCTAATTGAAGTGTAACCTAAATCTCTTAAGCTTTTTATTCATAGTTATTACAATATGAAGATATTTTGAAACATGTTGAAGAGATGGCTAATAAATAACATGTCTTTCCTAAATGAGAGACACTACTAAAAGGAAAGAGATTCTGCCCTTAGAAATATTACATACACATTAAAATCAAATAAGAACAGTCTGGGTAATTTTAGTGTTTTATACACTAACCACAACACTCCATATCAGTTTCTTGGTAGTCTAGTTTATATTGAAAGGGATTTTTGACCGAACAGATTTTCACTGGACACCATTACCTATGTGGACAACTGCATCAAGATATGTACATACTTTTCCCATCACTATCGAGAGTTATTATAATGATGATGAAATAGAAATTCCAATAACTTTATTAAAAGACATCAAAAATTATATTATTTGCTCAGTTTTAGCACAATTACTTATATTTTGTGAACTTGAAACTTAGACATAATGTATCATTTAATTGATGTCATTTCTGAATAAAATGCTCCGCAGGACACAGCTTGATACAACCGCTGAGGTCAAACCATAAACAGTTGGGGCAAGTATGGATACAACATTCAAATTTGATACAGTTCTGAATTTGGATTGTGATTAAGTATTTGATACAGAATGAATGTGGTCTAAGAACTTAAAAAATTTGAAATTGGACATTTACCTATTATGATCCAATATCCAAAATCTAAATACATGGTTAGAGTCAGCATATCAAAGAACCCCAAGAATTCAATTTTTGAGGAAATCAAACAAATAAATTTAGTTTTGGACCCTTTGAACCTCAATGTAGACCAATTTAATAACAGGGCCCAATATCCAAAATCTAAATTCACGGTTAGATTCAGCATATCAAAGAACCTCATATATTCAATTTTTGTTGATATCAAACAAAGTTTCATTTAAAACCCCTATTTGAACCAACATGAAAACCGAGCCCCAAAACAACAAACCTCAATACAAGGTGAGATTCAGCATATCAAAGAACCCCAAGAATGCAATTTTTTGTTAAAATCAAACAAACTTTAATTTTCGACCATTTGAACCATAATGTGGACCAATTTGAAAACAGGACCCAAAATTAAAGTATTAATACATGGTTAGATTCAGCATATCAAAGAACCCCAAGAATGCAATTTTTTGTTAAAATCAAACAAACTTTAATTTTTCGACCATTTGAACCATAATGTGGACCAATTTGAAAACAGGACCCAAAATTAAAATATTAATACATGGTTAGATTCGGTATATCAAAGAACCCCAATAATTCAACTTTTTATGATATCAAACAGTTTCATTTTGGACAACAATTTGGACCAACTTGAAAACTGAGCCCAAAATCAACAAACCTAATTACACTGTGGGATTCAGCATATCAAAAAACCCAAGAATTCAATTTTTGTAGATTCAAACAAAGTTTTATTTTGGACCCTTTGGTAATAAAAAAACTTATGAAACGACCATGAATAACTTCTTAGTATATTACAATTTATCCTATTATACCCAATGGATACCTTTATTTAACATACCTCAAAGACTTGATCTTTAAATCTATGCAGAAATTGTGTAAAGTCTGTAATATTTCCCATAATAAATTCTGGAATGCAGGCTAGACATTTTGGGGCTTCATCAGGAAGAGGAAGTTTGATATCACTAAAGCATTGTGGGTTGTCCCTAACAGAAACAAGAGACATCCATGTTGCAGTTGCTATGTGAAAGTTCAAAGACATTTCTAAAAATTTCGGTTCTGTTACAGCTGCCCTAATACTTAAATAAATAGTCATTCCTGTAAAAAAAAATATGCATCATTAAGGTATAATCTCAAACTATAAAATGTGTGTAATGTGTATGCACATGTGAATGTTTGTAATTTGGGATTTAAAAATTTTTTGCATTTTAATTTAATATGACTTCTTTCATAAATGTAATGTGCATATAATTTTCTGTAAAGATAACAGAACCTTTCAATGGAGCCAAATATACAATACTGCCTCTTTTCAATAGTATTATCTGCTGGAGGTATAAAGTAATCTGTCAAAATGTTAAATATTTTTATCCTTAGACGGTCCCCCGCCCCCTGTAAAAGATATTTCAAACATGAACTATGATAAACCAACTTATTTTTTCATGAATACTTTATTTCATTTTAAGCTCTTCATAGTCGACTTTGTTAATATTAATGTATTTGTTTAAGAAAATATCTAAGTTTGACATTTTCGCAACGAATAAAACTCACTACACAAGAAAATAAATAGCTCGCCAAAAATATTTTGTTTAAATTAGTTATTTCAGGCGCTTCATACCTTCTTCCATTTTACTTTTCAACTGTCTGACTGGTTCCATTGAATCATTTCCTCCCTGATTTGTAGCATCCTGGTATAAACGTTGTATTCTTCCTAAACTTTGATTTAGTTTTACAAACTTTTCATTCAAAGGTTTGAACCCCATATTTAAACATTGATGAGTCAAGAAAAAACACTCAGATATAAAATTATAAGATTCTAAAGGTTCCAAATGTTCATTATCTGCCATTGGTATTAAACAGGTCTCTTTATTCAACCCTGAAAATTATAAAATATCATTCTAAGAAATTTCAATACAAAGTTAAAATAAGATAATTCTATTTCAAATTTTTAGTAAATAAATTAACTTTTGTAGCTTTTTTGAAAATCTATGCCTTTATATAAATAAAATATTATCATGCATTTAAACAACATTCATTTATAGGAAATTTGTTTTGAAAATAGCAGTATTGGATCCAGGGAAGATTTTAGCAAACAATCCTCAAATACAACTGTAGATATAGCCCAAAACAAAATATGTACCATAATTGAAGTAGTAACCTATTTGATATCACTCATTTCCTAAGAACCACTGGATGAAATAGCAGCCTTGCTTTACTGGTTTTTCAGAAAACTAAATTTAATTCAATTCTATTCAAAGATTTTATTGCTCAATTCAATTATATTAGAGAATTAGAGAAAGGGATCGGATAAAGGCTCAACCTATATAAATCCTTTCCCATACAAGATGGATAAAATAATATTTGGCTTTTACATATAACAATATATATATATATATATATATATATATAGAGAGAGAGAGAGGAGAGAGAGAGAGAGAGAGAGAGAGAGAGAGATGTCTGCCTATGTGTAGTGACAACTGTAAATTATACCTTGTCCAACGGATTTCTTATTCAGGCTTTATAATATTTATGAAATGCCTAAAAAATCAACCTAACATTGTTAGAATAGATCTGATTTTTTTATGCTTCTCAAAATAGAATATCATCCTGTAATTATACTGAAGAGATGAGTAGATGACCTTTCCTGTACACTTAAAAATACTTTTATTGTGATTAGATGTCCTTGTTTAATACCTACGAGAAGGTAACACCTCTTGAGATGAAAGCTGATTTCTATCAGATATAGTTAGAGGAGGGGATAAGTCGTCTGTGCAATGCTAGGCGGTGTTGTCGTAGAAGTGAGAAGTGAAAAGTACAGGTTCCAGTCCCGCTCAGGGAGGAAGTAAAGAATCAGATCTATTCTAACATTGCTAGGTTGATTTTCTAGGCACTTTCTATATATGTATATGTATATATATATAAACCAAATTTAATAATTTAAGAAACAATGATATTTGTCTTTCAAATGAGAAAATGCATGCTACAATGATGACTAAATTACAATTAAGGGGAGACTACTACTTTACTTACCAAAAGCATGAATATTTTTCTGTTGGCTCTTGTCGTTGTCATTTACTTCCACAGAACAATAACTGGGTTGTACTTTAAGAAGTTTGTCACACTGTGGTTCAGAGAAAGGCACAGACAGTTTTAACATTAAATAACATAAATTTAAACAAAATCCATCATAAGCATACATCTGATTAAATAACTGAGGCATCTGAGCTGACCAAATCTTAGATTTACCTACAATAAACCAAAAAATAAAGTATAAAATGCTTTCAAATCAAGAACTTTTTGACCACTTGATCTTGGTATTGTACAGATTGATATTTTTTATTTTTGGTGTTTTAACACCACTTTAAAGCACCGCTTTTGGGCCATTTCGTGGCGGCCAGTTTTTATTGGTGGAGGAAGCCAGAGTGCCCGGAGAAAACCACTGACCTTCGATAGGAAAACTGACAATCCTAGTCAAGTAAGATTGGAGTCGAGTGCACCCGCACAAGCGGGGTTCGAACTCACAACCTCAGTGTTGACTGGCTAGTGATTACAGTAGTAACTATTTAGACCACTCGGCCACTGAGGCCCCGGTATTGTACAGAGTTGAAGATTTCCTATCAAACTATATATTGTAACATATGTATCTGGAAGATCAAGGGATCACTGATACGTAACATCTGCCTTTTATCCAATGACAATTTTGTTAGAGGAGTCCTTAACAAACTTGGACTTTATCCTTTAACTTAATTAGCAATTGGACCTTAATAAGCTTTTTATGAACTTTATAATTGATTCCTGTTGTCCACTTTAATCTTTTTTTTTATACAGCTGCTATGGTGGTAGGCTTTAAGAAACATTTGATACAATTTTAAAACTACAAACCCAACGGATGATGAGGTCAAATTTGGTTCCAGTTGGTCCATTGATGTCAAAGAAGTTTTTTGACAGATGAGAACAGAATACAATCAACATCAAAGGATGGAAAAGAGCTCATCATTGAGACAAATGAGTGACAAACAAATGGCATATTATGATATGAATAGACGTATTTACACTTGTATGCAAATTTGTCCGCCATTACGTAAAATCACACAAGTTCCCGTAAAATATTTGACATCACAATTTAAAAAATTTGACGTCACAATTAACTAGATGCTCTCAAGAGCCTGTGTCGCTCACCTGTATTTACTGATGCTTTGGAAATCATGTAAAATAAGGTTAAAATCATAATTAAAAGTATTAGATATTATATATTATAATGATATCTTAGATAATAACAAAAAACTGCAAAATTTCTGCAAAATTACTAACTCAGGGCAGCAACCCAACAACGGGTTGTTCGGATTAGTCTGAAAATTTCAGGGCAGATAACTCTAAATCTGATGAACATTTTTGCCACTAGTCAGATTTGCTCTAAAAGCTTTTGTTTCAGAGATATAAACCAAAAACTGCATTTTACCCCTATGTTCTATTTTTAACCAAGTCGGCCATGATGGTTGGAAGGCGGGGTCATCGGACAATTTTTTTAAACTAGATACCCTAATAATGATTATGGCTAAGTATGGTTAAATTTGTCTCAGTAGTTACAGAGAAGAAGATTTTTGTAAAAGATTACAAAAATTTACGAAAAATTGTTAAAAATTGATTATAAAGGGCAACAACTCCTAAAGGGGTCGACTGAAAATTATGGTCATGACGACTTATTTGTAGATCTTACTTTGCTGAACATTAATGCTGTTTACAGTTTATCTCTATCTATAATAATATTCAAGATAATAACCAAAAACTGCAAAATTTCCTTAAAATTACTAATTCAGGGGCAGCAACCCAACAACAGGTTGTCAGATTTGTCTGAAAATTTCAGGGCAGATAGATCTTGACCTGATAATCAGTTTTACCCGCGTCAGATTTACTCTAAATGCTTTAGTTTCAGAGATATTAGCCAAAATCTACATTTTACCCCTATGTTCTATTTTTAGCCATGGGGGCCATCTTGGTTGGTTGGCAGGATCATCAGACACATTTTTTAAACTACATACCCTAATGATGATTGTGGCCAAGTTTGATTAAATTTGGCCCAGTGGTTTCAGAGGAGAAGATTTTTGTAAAAAGCTAACGAAGACGACGGACGCCAAGTGATGAGAAAAGCTCACCTGGCCCGAAAAAGTGATTGTTGCTTGACGTCAGAAGGTTATTCGGAGCAGATCTAAGGTCATTTGGAGACAAAATTCAGTTAAATATTAAAAGTGCAAATACGTTTATTCAGTCCTGTATTAATTTTGATAAAGATATTATCAAATACACTGAATATTGTTCTGATTAACTGTGAATTCATTTATTTTTGTCGGGTGGCAATATGGGAAATGAGGGAAAATTGTATTTTCTTGGATATGCCAAAGTCTACATTCAACATTTGAATTTATTACAAAATGAAATCACACTATACCCACCTGAGTTAGCAGATATACATCTACCAATCCACAGTAGTGTATTATGTTTTGCATGTGGGGATGATTTGATCAAATTTAGGAAGAAGGTATGAACTTTATCTCCTACTCTTGTCAAAGGCTACAAAAAAAAATTAAATACTGATGCGAAATGAAGAATTTTTCAGCAAAATTTAATACACAATGAAATAACTGTAGAAACTTGAATCAGGAAGATACATTTTGTAAATATTTATGGTTAAAATGTTTTTTGCTTCATTCTTACAATCCAAGACGGGATCAAATTCTTTAATGGAATGAATTATACTATTAAAACTTGTAAGCAGAATCTTCTTTTGTAAAGAAATAATACCAACATTTAAAATGAGTGACTTATTGAAGTGCAATACATTTAAATTATCAAAAATATGTGAAACTCCTTTAATTATACCTGATGAATACTGTTTTCAATAGCATCAATATCTCTTTGTGATTTTGATGCTGGATCTGCAAAAAAATCACATGGACCAAGTTCTGACCTTGGTATAGAACTAAAGCAGAATAATGAGCCTAGTAAAGTCTGTTCATAGGTCTTTCCTTTGTTCCAATCTCTTGGTGCACTGTGGTCCAGCAGTACCTATAAACACCAATCATAATGGTAGAAATATATTATAACTAAGTAATAGATGTACTAGTACCACTACACCTTATACTCAGGCAATTAATTATCTACAAATGGGGAAGCTACAGTTATAAGATATTGATTTTCTTCGCATGAATACATGTAATGTAACAGTACCCAATTTGCACACATATTGCATAAAAAATGACGGATATCTTATAGGTTTTTTTAGACTAAACATTTCGTCTTTTTATCATTTATCATTATGGTCTTTCAACATTTTAATTTCTTCAAGATACACAATACAGTCAGATTATATATTAACAAATGAAGTCTCAAGTGAACAAAGTAAAATTTAAGGAAATGTTGCATGTGACATCTACAAAAAGTCGACTTTTAAAAATGAAAAATCAAAATATGTCACATACATCCATTTCATACAAAATGCATAACAAGCAAGAACTATTGTCAAAGTGTTGAAAAAATGTGGAGATACTAAACAAAATATCAGTAATTTGATTTTACAGATGTGTAGTTAAGCATGGGTGCAATTTAGATATTCCTCATCATATTCCAATTCTGGATTGTTTGGAAGTTGGTTCAAACCCATTTTTTTATGATTAAGTATTGATTCAAAATCAAATATGTGGAACTAAATAGTAAATAAAGATACATCTACAAAATAAACCCAGAATGAAAACTTTTGTATGTTTCTTAAATAAATGAAGATAAAAAACTGTCAAAATTGGTGCAAATTGGGTACCCTCACGTTAAAAATTTTACAGAAAAAACAAAAAATTCAGCAATTTTTCCATTTGTAAAGAGGCATAACTCTAGAATGGTAAAAGTGACGCCCCCAAAATTCAAACTTGATCTATGTTTTGTGGTAATAAGCATTGTGAATAAGTGTCATAACATTTGGTTAAGGCAAAATTAAGTTAGAGAACGGAAATGTAAAATTCAGCAAATTTTTCCATTCATAAAGGAGCATAACTCTAAAACAGTATAAGTGACACCACCAAAATTCAAACTTGATCTGTGTTTTGTGGTAATAAGCATTGTGTATAAGTTTCATAACATTTGGTTGAGGCAAACTAAAGTTAGAGAACGGAAACCAATTTTGGGACGTACAGATGGATGTACAGAAGGACAAGGGTAAAACTTAATGCCCCCTCCGCTACAGCGGGGACATAAAAACATTTTCCAATCAATACAGTTATTCAATAAGTTAAAAAATGCTTAAATTGATCATTCAATTAATAAATGATTGGTCAGTATTGAGAACATATTATAAAGACATACCTTAGCCATTTCAGGGTTTCTTGTAAAAAATGCCATAAAATCTATATTCCTGAGAACATTTGGGTTTATCAAGGAGCTATCTTTCATCATACTGTTCTTCAGTGATTCTAGAACGGGTTTAAATACATCATTCAATGAACCATCTTCTTTACTTTTATTTATCTCTTCCACAACTCTATCAAAAAATTCCACCATAATGACATGACTATATGCTGTAATGTAGAAAACTTAATTTTAGTATCCTTACAATACCACAAGTATGAGTAGGACTTAAAAACATTTGGTCCTTTAAATGAAAAAAAGGTATATTTCAAGAATTTGTAACAAATGTATTTGAAGTTACATAACAATTATAAAACAAAGTAAATTAAAGATTTTCAACTTATCAGGACTACCAGCTCACACTCTCCTCAACTGCACAGGATACACTCCATAACATAATAAAAACCCTCTTCATTACAGGCATTATTTTTTTACAACCTCAAACAATTGAAACATAAAACAAACAAGTGAAACTGTGAGCTACTGCTCACTGAATTACCCCCAGCCCAAATACTGGTAAACAGGAAGTTGTTGAGTGATGAATCTGAAAACGCATCACACGGTATAGCTGACTTATATAAACACTGAAACCAAATTTCTGAAATCCTTGTAATGAAGTTCCTGAGAAAAATGTGACGAAAATTTTCAACTTGGATGTCATGTGTAAAATGATATAAGTGTTTGGTAAACAGGAAGTAGTTAAGTGATGAATCTGAAAACACATCACACGGTATAGCTGACTCATATAACCCCTGTAACCAAATTTCAGAAATCCTTGCAATGTAGTTCCTGAGAAAGATGTGACGAAAAATATTCATGGGACGGACGGATGGATGGATGGACTGACTGACGGAAGGACGGACAGACAGAGGTAAAACAGTATACCCTCACTTTTTTAAAGTGGGGATATAATTAATCTTAAAATGTTATATGATAGAAGTATGGCCATCCGTTAAGCAGTTACCATAATATGGAAGACCAATGAAAAGGTTTGCAATTCTCAATTTGTCAGCAAGCACATTAAAAATTCAACTCAGCATGTTGGTCTAGTTAAAAGCTGAGTATATTCATTTCTTTTTATAAAAATAAGGAGATGAGGTCCTGAATATGCATGTAAATTTTCAGCTAGGTGTTAAGCAGCTATCAATCAATCATTCAATCTGACTTACATGATAAGAAACTGTCCTCTGACTGATAAATATCAACAAACTGTTTTGACAGGTTCTGTTCATATAAATCTGGTTGTTGTAGACAGGTCTTAGCATTCATTACAATCACTGCCTTGCATTTATTCATTTCTGATTTCATCTTTGGACTCTGTAATCAAAATTTTGTTGGAGTGTCAAAAGCATAAAGAAAAAAATACAAGAAAACACAGTAGAATGAACTGACTGGTTTGGAAACAATTTAGATAAGAATATAACTCCCATGAACATGATGAAAATTTTCAAGCAGAACTAATCTTTAATCTTGACAGAGATATTGCATACATAACTCTTTTGTATAATTTTCAATCAAATCATAAAGAGATGAAACCATGAGAGCATTTTACAATATGGGACTGTCATGCAGATTTCATAGCATACATTTTTTGAGGTCACTATTTTTTCTACTTGACTGAAATATTTGTTATATTTTCTTTTATGCATTTCTTTCAAATGAATTACCAATCTAAGCATGTGAGCAATAATAAAACAATTTTCAATTTCCATGAAGTTTAGTTTACATTTCCAACGGCATATCTCATGTAAATCATATATGTACCTTATTTTGACTTTCCATGTTCTTTACTCTAACATAACACTGATACAGGTAATGTAAAACTTGAGATTCTCCCGCCATTCTTGCTGACTCAGCATCTTCTGTTTTAGCTGATGTTAGTGATACTATATATAATCCTGGGTCTTTCATAAGTAATCTCTCAAATACAGCCTATTGATAGAACATACTCAGTGTAATATGCAAGCAATGATTATAAGTTCCTTGCAAAATTAAGAGGCTTCTATGAATCTATACTACTTGAGTAGCTCCTGTTTTATTTTATTCATAATACGGATAGGTCTGTATTCTTATCCACCAATTAGTCTGATGGTGTGTTCACCAAACATCAAAATCTTCTGCCTACAGATTACATAATCTTGGTAATAGAAAAACGTGTTTCAGATTGATTTCTACTTTACTGAAAATCTCTAGTTTCAATGAAAAGTAGCACCTTAAGATTACTTAGCCAGTTTGAATTCAGTAGTACATATTTGAAGATTGAAAATGTGTTGAGTAAAAACCTGTTCAGTCAACATATACTAACTTGTTCTAAGCAGTCCGTATCTAGCCATGTTTGTCCTTCTAAAGTTTGTGCTAAATCTGTCATAAAGACACATCTAGGTGGTCTTTCTGTATATGCTTCAGGGTCTGTAATATAAGAAATATTATTTATTGATATTATCAACTATACTCAAATGTTATCACATAACTTTTACCATTGTGATGAATAAAACTAAGTATAGAGTTTTGTAAATACTAACTGTATAAAGCTAAGCAGTGTTCCAGTAAGCAAGGCTGGTAATTAATAGTAAGGTAAACAACTCTTATTATAAATAATCAAATACATTGTATAATGCATATATAAACACATTATAAAATAAATAAAATTGAAAATAATTTTTAGCAAATAATATAAAAAATTGGATGGTCCCCTTATTTATAGCTTTCCTTTGTACCTTACAAATTATAATGCAATGGTGGTAAGTTTGTTATTGCCTTTGGTGGTAAGTTTGTTATTGCCTTTGGTGGTAAGTTTGTTATTGTCTTTGGTGGTAAGTTTGTTATTGTCTTTGATGGTAAGTTTGTTATTGCCTTATAACTGACTTCAAGTAATACTGACCTTTTTCAAAAGTTAGTAGAAAAATATTTTCTATGAGATTGTTGATTTCTAGTTTGTACTCTGCCACAGATTTCCAGTCATCAGCTTTCATTTCTACTGCTATCACTACAAAAAATGTTGATGATGAATGTAAATATTTGTTCTATACTTAAAACTTGTATTTTTCTATATACAATACTTGACACTGCATTAGAATATTCATTCAATTTTGAATAAGTTATAATTAAACTAGTCTATCTTTTAAACTGGAAATAATGAGTCCCAAAAATGCAAGAAAACCTCTTTTAAACCCCATTCAAATATTTAAACAGTCTAATTGGTAATTGATTCATGTAAGTACAAGTTGTAGGTTTTATCCATTCTATATTATTATTTTATCTAAATAAGCTATATTTTTGAAGTAACACCTACACATTGTTAAAGTAATTTTAAGTACACATACTGATTTCCTTAAACTCAAGATTCTTGTTAATATTTGTTAGTCCAGTTTCAACAACAAAATCAATTTCCTCTTAAATTAGTGAATTGGCTTATGATATATGTTAAGCTCTGATATGTCCAGAGTTTATATCTAAAGTTTGTATTGCCAATCTTCAGGTTTTAGGTCGTAATTTGTGGACTACAGACTACAGTTGGTAATTTTCTTTAACTTTTGCTGTGGAGCTCTGATTTGTAGTTCATGAAATATTGTTTTTATTGGTATTAATATTGATTTTGTTATCAGTAAATTTAAATCAAACTAAATATCATTTTTATATACATATGCACATTCATGGCTCTACAATCTGTAGATACCTGTATCTTGGCATTGCACAAGGTCATGCTTTTCTCTAACTGTTAATGACGTCTTTACACTAAATCCATTGGATGTTGGATGTTTTCTGATTGATATTTTTGTCTTGGATGCATGATTTTTTATTAGTTGTTATTGGCTTTGAACTAGCTGTCAGTAACTTTGAGTACTCTCAGTTCTGTACTTAGTGTCTTTTTGTTGTGGGGATGTATAAGAACACTGCCACTTCCACTCTGAGTTTTTGTTATATGTATTTCTGTTTGTATCCATCTGATAAGTTCAGCCTTTTTCAACTGATTTTTATAGTTTGTTCTTATGTTGTACTTTTACACCACTGTACCAGGTTAGGGAGAGTGATAGGCGCCCGCTAACATGTTTATGTCCACCACATTCTGTATATGCCTATCCCAAGTCAGGAGCCTGTAATTCAGTCGTTTGTTTCTGTGTATCATATTTGTATTTCGTTCATTATTTTTGTACATGAATTAGGCCGTTAGTTTTCTCGTTTGAAATGTTTTACATTTGTCATTTCGGGGCCATTTATAGCTGACTATGTGGTATGGGTTTTGCTCATTGTTGAAGGCCGTACTGTGACCTGTAGCTGGTAATTTCTGTGTCATTTGGTCTCTTGTGGAGAGTTGTCTCGTTTGCAATTATACCACATCTTCTTATTTTTATATATAGCCACCATAATTTCATATGACAGACAGACAGAAACATTTGGAACAAGGGCATAATAAAATACACAATCAACAAAAAGTAAATGGAAGTCATAAGTAAATGCATAATTCTAAATCAGTTGTTTATTGTCACCTGTGCACATATTATGAGTTTTTGATTTATTTTGCAAATGTTTCAAATACTATATGATCATCTATTCTTTCTCCACCAAAATTGTCACTTGATAAAATATAAAACAGCTACACTGCCAACTGGCAAAGCCAAACATACCCCCAATAAACATGACTTGGTCTTATATAAATAAAATGTACATACCTGGTTGTGATTCAGGAGTTTCCTGTTCTTCCTTAGAAGACTGGAAGCTATAGGGCACATCTCCACCAGTCAGCAAAGCTGCAAATGGATTGTTTGATAAATCTTTCTGTTCTGTCATCTTTTCATGAGATATCCTACAATATTAATGTCACAGCAAAGATTAACAACATGAATTAAAGGGGTTGTAACTTGTAAGGTATAAATCAATTAGATAGCCACCCAACAACAAAATTAACCAAAATACCAGTACTACATTGTATTTACTAAAAGAATCAGATCTAAAATGGTAACTCACTGAATGTATGACTATGTTTGACTAACATTTGTGACTAAAATTTTGTTACTAATAATAATTGTCATCATTTTATTATGGTTTGTTGAATGCCCTTTCTAAATTTTAGTGGCAATTATCAGTTGGTCAACAACACAGCAAGTGATAGACAGACAGCTGATACTTGCAGTCTTGCATCTAGTTGTGAGATTTAAAAGAATTGGTATACATGTACAACTGTATCTTCACATGTCAACACAGGGCCTTCCATTTGACATGTTTGACTTAAATATAACTGTGCCATAAAGAACATCAGAGACAATAAACCAAGTGGTATGTCTAGAAGGACACTATTGTCCCAAAAATAGACATTATTTTGAAGGTAAATCATCTAGGAATTGGGATACTACCCTGAACTTATTGTGAGTTTCATTGATGATATCTCACAGCATCTTTGAAGAGTCCTGGTCATAATTTTCCAATATGTCAGCTTGTCTCTTGTGGGTGTTGGATAATATCAGTACATGTTTTAAAGAATCGTATGTAGACAAGTAATTCATAAAATTAAGAATAATACAAATATAAGTTGTTAATCTGGTAAACTAAAAATCATTGATCATTATTTTTAAATGCATGCAGTGTAAACGTTGCAGTGAAGCAAAACAAAAACTTATGAAAGAGTTGTTTTTTCATACAAAATCTGTACACCTGGATTTAAAACTGATTATCGGTAAAAAGAACAACATCTGTCCGAATCCGGGTCCGTTCGCGCCCATTCACGTTCGCCCCCTTTCACGTTCGCACCCCGGGTCCGTTCGCACCCTACACGTTCGCACCCTTTTTATTGATTTTGTCTTAAATAATTTTTCAATCGTATTTTGGTTAGTGTATTGCTATAAATATTTTTTTTGTTCATTGTTTTCAAATGAAGTGACTTTCTAAAAACGATTTTTGTGTTGAATAATTTTTTAATCGTGTTTTGGTTATTGTATTGCTATAAATAAGTTTTTTTTCATTGTATCAAAACATGCAAAATAAAGTGACTTTTTTGTGTTGAATATCTTTTTAATCGTGTTTTGGTTAGTGTATTGCTGTATTTTTTTTTTCATTGTTTCAAAATAAAGTGACTTTCGAAAAAAGGTTTTTTGTGTTGAATATTATTTAAATGTTAAGATACCAAACCGCTTTAAACTCAACAACAATAACATTTTGAATCTTAATTGTTTTTACTCATACCAAGTTAAATACATGCTAATATAACTACATGCAGAATTTACATCAAGTTTAGCTGTGTAAACACCATATATAATTAACAGAAATCATAAATAATTAATCATCAATTCAATTTAAAACAATATTTCATTTAAAAAATTAAAAGATTGCCGAATTTGTCTTTATTTTGAGATAAACATCTTAAAAAACATCTTATAATTCATCGGGTTTTTGAATTAAAAAAAAGGGTGCGAACGGACCCAGGGGGCGAACGTGTGGGGTGCGAACGTGTAGGGTGCGAATGTGTATTGGGCGCGAACGGACCCGATACCCATCTGTCCTATCTCAAGAATTTTACTTCAGAGTTTATTTTGGGAGATCTTATTCCTTATTCAATCAGTTTTAATTGTTTTATATTCAGTTTCCATCTGTAAGTACATGTGAGTTTAAACAAATGAGAAGGATTATGTGTTTACTTAAAAGTCTTCCAAAAAATTTGCAAGACCAAGACGTTATAATTATTATCATATAAACTAGTCTTCGACTGTTGGATCATGCAGTAGTCAGTAGCTCAATTGCAGTTTTCACTGTTTTTCTGTGAATAGCATAACTAGGCCTGGACCCAAGAAATGTTCAATAGCTTCATTTGAATATTTGCTACGTATTTATATTTCTTTCTCGCCGTTCTTAAGTTGAAATTAAATGTCAATTTACCTAGAATCAAGACACGTCAGATTAAATGACAGACCTAAGGCCTTCCATAGGAAATCATTCCGAACGAAAGTAGTCCATCAATAAAACCAATTTTGACTTCTATATTTTCTGAAAAATAACAAAATTAGACGGAAAAACTATTTGAATAAGTTCAACAATCACTATAATGGTTTATATTTTTGCAACATTTAATTTTTGTTCTTGTTAGAGGAAAATTATGCTCTATGAAGTGATCATTTGCTCGGCCAGTCTGTCTCGTGAAATCGAGTTCACCTTTTCACTGATTTTCATATCCGGAAATGTGTTTTAAATGGACATAAATGCGAATTGTCAATATTTGTATGAAATAAATGTGAACAATGAGTAATTGTATATAAGTAAAACTCGCAAAAAGTGAAAATGAATATTATATCAGAAATAAATACTTTCCGGATATCAGAGACATATACATGTCTCTGCGGATATCAAACGATTGTCCTCTTTTTCAAAATATTAAAATATGACATTAAAGTTCAGATAAAGTGGATATTTCTATCATTTAGAGGAAATTTCTTAGTGACAGTAACTGGTCCTCCGACCAATAAAATATCACACCGTAATAAAATGAACACATTGGTTACCCACTTTTCTTAACTGAACCGAAAGTTTGAAGTCCGAGTGTATGCTGCTAAAACGAACCCTTAATATGTTGTAAAATATTTCTAAACGAATTTCCTGTTAACCATTGTTACAAAAAACTGTAGACTTGATGATTAGACATTCTTTTGTGGTTATATATTCTTCCGGTCGTAAGTCATTCCAGTCCAAAGGTTCAGCCCATAGTTGAAGCCGTTATGATACCAATTAAAATAACATATATGTTGACAATTTATATTACGTTTGTACAAGCTATGAACAAGGATTTTTCTATAAAAATCATTGATATTTATAGTGAAATATTTACCTGTAAAGTGAGAAACGGAAAAGAAACGAAATAGAGCGAAACGAATCGAAATATAACTACAACTTGTAAACGAAATACACCGAAACGAGAAAAAAACAAAAACACCGAAACGAGAAAAAAACTGTAATTTAAGAAACGACTCCTAGAAAATCTTTCTTATGAGAAATATCTGATTGACTAAAATGTGAAAAATCAATAGTCAATAAGGCATAGTTGATATCTATTACATATCACAAACAACTCGTGTAATGATATGTATATGTGTGTTACATACTATTATGCCGGAACTGTCCTTATCTCGGAATTCCGAGGTTGCCGAAAAGATGTATCTGTCGGAATTGAATTTCGCTTATCCCGGAAAGATAATTACGTTATACCGACAAAATCTTATCAAACAAATAATTTAACTATGCACCGTACCACATATGACTTATAATTACATGCTTCTGGTAGTATTAGACCTTTCTTTTTTTTAAATGGGAGGAATTTAACCGTTTATGCCGAATCACACATTTAATGCCTCTAAAAGTTTCACTGACCTGTTCTTTGCGTTAAGAAAAAATCTGCACAACCAGATCCTAAAATCATATATCATCCAGTGACGGATTCATAAGCCTAGAGGGAGAACGCCCCTTCCCCTTTGATCGGAAAAATATCCTTTATTTTTGCTTAAATCGTCCAAAAAAAAAATCTCTACGCTTAGCAGTATTTTTACATCCGTTTCTGTATTCTTTGTAACTATTTGATTCAGTCCCCAGATTTGAATCAAAGCACTAAGCTGAGAATGTGCAAAAATACACGATTAACGGGACAAATTACATATTGGTCAACATGCAGACATCTTTTACGTTCAGGTATTTCACATCCAATATTTTATGGTAATATTCTTTACAAAGCACAAAAATGTCGGCATTCACCTCAAAAGCTAACCAAACCTTTAAACAGACTTATTCTGAATTAAAGGATATAGTTACGATACTGTTGTCAAGTCATTAAGGATTGCATATTTTGGTATTAATATTGATTCACTCATAGGGTCTTTGCATCGGAAATAAACACATTTATTCTAAAACCAGTTGTTGGCATGATACGGGTTATGTTCTTCTTACATATTTTATGATGGTATGATACTAAACCCCTAGCGGGAGGGATTGTACTTGATTTTCATATGATGAAGACATAATCTTTCAATCAGTTTACTTGAGGTCTGGAGCTGGCATGTCAGTAACTGCTAGTAGTCCTTTGTTCATTTATGTATCATTGTCATTTTGCTTAGTTTCTTTTGTTACCTATTCTGACATCGGACTCGGACTTCTTTTAAACTGAGTTTTACCTTGCGTATTGCTATGTGTTTCTTTATTCTACATTGGCTAGAGGTATAGGGGGAGGGTTGAGATCTCACAAAACATGTTTAACCCCGCCGCAGTTTTGCGCCTGTCCCAAGTCAGGAGCTTCTGGCCTTTGTTAGTCTTGTATGTTTTTTAATTTTAGTTCATTTATATGTTTTGGAGTTTATTGTGATGTCCATTTTCACTGAACTAGCAGTACACAATTTTATTTAGGGGCCAGCTGAGGACATCCTCCGGGTGCGGGATTTTCTCGCTGCGTTGAAGACCCATTGGTGGCCTTCGGCTGTTGTCTGCTCTTTGGTCGGGTTGTTGTCTCTTTGACATATTCCCCATTTACATTCTCAATTTTATCTTTATTTCCATTGATTGCAACACTAGAAAGAACGCAGTACATACCATTTTTTTATTTTGTAATTGTCGATGCTTTCTAGTCCCATCAAGAAGTTGTATGAAATTAATAAAACACGTTAGTATCCCGAGTGAAGTAACAATAACTAAACGTGCAATGGTATGGACATTTTGTCTCCATTTAAGAGACGGTGGGATCCGAATGTCCTAGTTAGGTGCAGTGATTGTAGAGTTGCAGTCTTACTGACGTTAACTCTATATATGACTCAATAGTCAAATCCAACATGCAACTTTGGGGGTTTGGTGGACCAACTTGCGACCAGACGTCTTCCTTTAAAGTATCTCTGATAACAAAAACGGTACCAATTTTTCTGCACCAGATGCGCATTTCGACAATCAATGTCTCTTCAGTGATGCTCGAGGCCAAACTATTTGAAAATCCAAAGCTTATTAAAAACATGAAGAGCTATAAACTTTCGAAATGTTCAAAACCGAGAATCGGATCGGTTTAGAACTTAATAGTTGGCTTATAGTGACCTATTGGCCTGAGGCAATTTCTGAAAGTGACCATGTGTCCTAAGCTGACCCAGGGGACCTACTGGACTCCCTCTCTTCTCTTTTGATTCATTCTATATCATAAGTTCGACTCTTCATATACTACTTTCTTTTTTAAACTAACCCATGATAAAAGCAAAAACATAATTGTATTTGCTATTCACCATTTATCTTGACAGACTCGCGTTATTGACATATTTATCACATTTCCAATAGTGTAACTACGAAGTACAGAGTGTCTTCTCAAAGTTGAAAAGGTATGTGTTGTAAGAAGTTTTCAAAGATTAACAATTGAACTTGAACTGTTAACCGAGATTACGCCTTGCTTGCTTTGCAACAATATCAAAAACAAGAATGTCATCAACTGCCATAACAATAAAAAAAAAGCTCGGAAACAAACCAAAAAAAAAAACGAATAAAAAAAAAGATTATGCAACCATAGAACAGCCAAATCATCACATTTTAATGTTATTTGATCCGGAAAATATGGTTCAAAAATTTAATTTGGCATATATCTCAAAAAGTCTATGCCATAATGAACATATGTACCAAGTTTCAAGCTGATGAGACCACAATGTTACAGAAATCTATAAGTTAAACCTATTACGGGAATATCGGAAGGACGAACTGGCGGATGCATAGACCGAAATCACAATGACCCAAATAATGCGGGTCGTAATGACAAAAAAAACCTGTCAGTTTGACCTAAACAAACGTGCAAACTGCCTGAATACTAAAGCAACAACAAATAACATAGAAATGGTCCATTGCAAGTTATTCATCATAAACACATGACACCTGCTACCAAACTTAACACCTGACCAAAGAATCAAGAATATGTGTCTTTAGAACACCAAATTCCTCTCAAACTATCAAATGTCAATATTTAGTGAACCATCCCTAGATGTACTTATTTCACACGATCACATCTGATGTTCAGTGAACCATAAAAAAGAATCAAGACCATAATTCGGTATATATTTTTTTTAAAGAACACACTATAATGAACATGTATACTAAGTTTCGAGTTGATGTGACCACATATTCATTGTAAACTACCTTAACAAAAAGCTTAAACCTGGTATCGGACAGACGGACGGACTTATGAATGGACATACAGACCATAAAACATAATATGCCCCACTAGTGTAGGCGGATGATTAAAATCCTAGTGGAATTGATATTCAGACGAGTCACCGTATCAGCTATTCTAATTTCAATGTTTCTTCTTTTTTTACACCTGCATAGAAGCCTTAACATTTGAACAAAATTCCAGGCACTGTAGCTTAGCTGAATCACATGAGCCAACTATTGCACGAATGTACCAAATGTAAATTGTGAGACATAACTTTGAAATATATTCTAAGATGAATCTAATATTTTGTGTTTCCAACTGGATTTCATTTCTTCATTTTCTTTTTTTAGGTTATTTTTAATATTTTTGCCCATTGTTCGCTAATCATTATATTTTAGCGTCCCATTATTCTGTATTCTTTATTTTTTGGCCAATTTTTCTCTATTATTTATTTTTCTGTAGTATTGGCCCATTATTCTCTATTATTTATTTTTCTGTAGTATTGGCCCATTATTCTCTATTATTTATTTTTCTGTAGTATTGGCCCATTATTCTCTATTATTTATTTTTCTGTAGTATTGGCCCATTATTCTCTATTATTTATTTTTCTGTAGTATTGGCCCATTATTCTCTATTATTTATTTTTCTGTAGTATTGGCCCATTATTCTCTATTATTTATTTTTCTGTAGTATTGGCCCATTATTCTCTATTATTTATTTTTCTGTAGTATTGGCCCATTATTCTCTATTATTTATTTTTCTGTAGTATTGGCCCATTATTCTCTATTATTTATTTTTCTGTAGTATTGGCCCATTATTCTCTATTATTTATTTTTCTGTAGTATTGGCCCATTATTCTCCATCCAAATCCTTATTCTGAATCGCCCTTTAAAATAAAGGAAAGATGAAACACGGAAATGTAATTTTTTCCTAGGTTGAATATCAAAATGTATCATTGTGTTCTCAATGTTATATGCTCCTGTATCACCATTTAACTAGGAAACATGTTGCTATTTGATTCTGGACGATTTGGAGCTTGACTTATTGCAAACTCGCCTGTCTATTGGTTACTGTCGAAGACTATATCAGTATGTATATGTTGACCTCCAGATGTCTTTCGGTTCTTTGTGTCTATGTGTTGCTGTCTCATTGACATGCACTCCACATCTCCTACTAGTATATTAATTTTTAAAGATTGACAGTATATTTTGGTGACGGTTTATTATAGCTTAAGAGAAGACTATATAACTAAACTTGACAGCTAGTTGACTATTGCATTTTTGTTGTCCAATCAGTAGAATACATTGTTTATGTGATAGTTAATATGTCTATACTTGGCTATTTATTTTTAACATTTTAGTCAATGAGATATTTTTCGTCGGAAAGATTTTCTCTGAGTCGTTCCATAAAATACAGATATTGTTTCGTTTTGTTGCTCACTACACATATTTCGTTTCGTTTCGTTTCGCTCTGTTTCGTTTCTCACTTTAAATATTTTGCTGCTGTTTTATAGCTGTCGTTAATAATATTCAGATAACTATTAAATCAAGCATTGATTCTACTGCATTAATCGACCCTATAGAGATTCACAAAAATGTGGCAATTTTACAGAAATGAAATGAACACTTTAATGAAACAATATTAATTATTGGGAAGCAGTGAAAATCGCCCCACACTGGAAAATCGCCCCACACCAAATCGCCCCACTTTTTCACCAACTCGCCCCAAACTGGTTTACCAACTCGCCCCACTTTTTAAAAAAATCGCCCCACTTGTGAAAAGGGTTAAATCCCGTTAATTTTTCTCCTGCCAACGGGCCCCACTTAATGAAAAAAGGTAAAATCTAGATGAATAATTTTTCTCCTGCCAACTCGCCCCACTTAATGAAAAAGATAAAATCTAGATGCATATATAATTTTCAGGTCTGCCAACTCGCCCCACGGATTGGTTACTTTTGTCTTTGAATTAAGAATAATTAAACACCAGTGGCGGATCCAGGGGGGGGGGGTCCGGGGATTGGAACCCCCCCTTTTTTTGGACGATCAATGCATTTGAATGGGGACATATAGTTAGACCCCCCCCCCCCCCCCCTTATCCTTAGTTGAGAACCCCCCTTTTATAAATGGCTGGATCCGCCCCTGAACACTAACGAGCAATCAGTGAAAGGCAAATGGATTTTTCTATTTTTCACAAGTGGGGCTAGTTGGCATTCAAATCGCAGAAATACTGATACTCACTTCTTTCTGCTTTATTTCAACAAAAAGAAAAGAACTACAAAAACATGTTTATCTAAGGTTTTTATAGGTATTGATTTTATTTATAAGTGGGGCAGGAACATAGATATACAACGGGATTGCATCTTTTTTCATAAGTGGGGCGAGTCGGCATTACTGAATTCATCGTGGTTTATCAGTCTATTTGTCATGAGTGGGGCGAGTTGACAGACCTTATTTCAGCGGGATTTTAACCCTTTTCATAAGTGGGGCAAGTTATCCAACCTATTTTCAATGGGATTTTACCCTTTTTCATAAGTGGGGCGAGTTGGTAAACAAGAGTGGGGCGATTTTTTCGAAAGTGGGGCGAGTTGGTGAAAAAGTGGGGCGATTAGGTGTGGGGCGATTTGTCATGGATTCGAATACAATATAATTATTGTATTCATACGCCCTGCTCTTCTAAATTGAGGTTAATAAACTAAATGTAAACACTGGCGGAAAGTTTGAAGAAACAATTTAAATTGAAATGGATTCTTCTTCATCTTTTCGTTCATTTTCATCAGAAAATCCATGGAGTATTACTGGAAGTACGCTGGCGCCACTGACAAATGCGTTGAAAATAGCTGAAAACACAGGCCACATTAGAAAGGTTAGATTTTAAAAACAAGTCTTGTTACAACTTGCTCAAATTAGACCTTTATATTGATATCTGTATCTGCTTTATCAGAAGGCAGGAACTAGAACATTTGAAATGTAATTAGCTAGTTGAGTACTACTAGTTCCTGCCATGCCTTGAATTAAAACTTTACCAGGTGCACAGGTTTGTCTGTACTCAGAATAAAATTTGTGATGTAAATGCGGCTATATTTGCCAAAAGGTTATGCTGAACCTTAAAGAATCTGCTCAATAGACCTCATGTTTCAGATTCTGGGACTCTTCATATAAATGTAAGAATCTGGGTCTGCTCACCCTGATTTACGTTCGCCCTGGGTCCGGTGCCCTTATACCTGTTCGCCCTGGGTCCGGTGCCCTTATACCTGTTCGCCCTGGGTCCGTTTGCTCCGATTTTTATTATATTTTGTTGTCTTGTTTGTTGAATGATTATTTTTTTAAAAGAGTATGTTAAAGTTTGTTGAAAATTTCGCCGAATATCTATGTTGTATTGCTGCTACAATGTACCAAATAATTATTTTCCTTTTATCTGCACTGTAGAGTACCAGGAATAAGAGGTATTAAATATAAAACAACTGAAGACCATCTTATCTGCATGTATTGATCTTTATTGATAAATTTTAACAATTTTAAAACAATCATTAAGACATTAACAGTTATAACAAGATCCAATTCGAACTTCACATCACACACCAGTTACAAATGTATGTCCTAAATTTTTTACACTATTATTTTAAAGAGCACATATATAGGATATGTGTCAAAACGAACTTGAGATCAAATAAGCCAAGTTGTGTGCGAAAAAAATTTCATTTTATGTCTTACAATTCGTACATCGTTGTTTTTACTCATTCCAAGCTGACTTGTTTTTTTTTTAAATGTTACTTTCATTATTAATCCAACAAAGACAATTAATACAAAAATAAGTGAGCTCAAAGACATCATAATTATACCTAATCATCATTCTAAATTACAGTCAACAGTCATTAAAATTAATTCTAAATAGAACAAATGTAAGAATGAAGCCCATTAATTTAATGCTCCAAAACAAGCCATTAATTTTTAAATATTTTTATGTTTTTTTTCATGAATTTCGAGAATATACTTTTTCTTTAATATTGATCATATAAATATCAGAATATGTTTATTAAACTTTAATACCACTATATTATTTTTTTTTTAAAGTAGGGCGAACGAACTCAGGGCGAACATACTCTATGGGCGAACAGACCCAGGGCCAACATGTAATTAGGGCGAACGGACCCGATACCTAAATGCAAGATGTGGTACAATTTCCAAAGAGACAACTTTCCACCAAACTTCTGCTGATAACTTTAGGGAGGCACCAACTCGTGAAGTCCTCAAACATTTGCTCACCTCAACTAGATGTGCTCATTCTTTATTTCTTTAATAATCTTTATATCTTAAATATAAATTATATGAAAAATCTAAAAGAAAAAAATGAAGTTAAATTATATTTGTTTAGTTTACAAATAAAAGAAAAAAACGTAATTTACTTTAAATCAACCTCACACAGGAATACAATTTAAAGTAATCTTCATCAAAGTTGATGTAATTCCATACCTAAAGAAGAAGAGAAACTAAATGAAGTAGAATTTAGCAATTTTAGGTCACAGTACAGCCTTCAACAATGAGCAAAACCCATGCTGCATAGCAAGCTACATTGTATTAAAGGCATAGACATGACAAATGTAAAACAATAGATATTATGATCAAGTTTATTATTGTTTAATAATGACATCTTTCTGAATGTATTTCAGAGAATAGCTTTCGATGTGCATCAACTTCAAGATGACTACCATCACAAGCTGCCATCTATAAAACTTATATCACAACTCAAGTCATTGTCTAAAATGAGAAAAGAACATCACAAGGTATTTGTACTTGCTTAACCTTTATTGGAATAATTCACTGAACACATTTCACTGTTTTAAAAAGTTACAATGAAGTAGAACTTAATGGAAAAGAGGAGTCTGAAATTATCTTCAAATTTATATAAATCTGACATTTTGGTCTCACTTTACTGTATGAAAGTATAAAGGCACAAGTACACATATGCTCTTTTTGTATCAGCTAGTTTTTCAGTGCCTCTAACTACAGAATATATTTTGTGCATAGATGTCGTATGGTCTGAAGTATCATCAGGCAAATGTCAATTGTCAATATTTAATTTTTTTATCTTTAAAAGATACTAAATTTTCCAGTGGTTGCACAATATTTCAGGCTTTATTTATTATCTTTCATTATTGTTTTAAATTTTTCTAGCAAACATTTTAAATTGGTAAAATTTGTATATCGTCTTGAAAACAAATTGGTTAAAAAGTGAATAATCAAGCATACAGTTGGCTTTGTATTTTTAAAACTTAGTTACATTCATAAAACTACTTTTAATATAAAATAATTTGGCCATTATGGAAATTTCCTTTAAATTAGAGAACTTACCCTACGGAATGGGATATGGTCAGTATGTGTTAAAGTTACCAGAAACAATTAATATTCATGTAATAAAACAAAGGACTATTATAATTTTATTTTCAGATAAATTTAGAAGTTCAAGCAAGAATGCAAGACAAAGAAACAAGTGATTTAACACATTTAAAAGGTTTAGGTAAGATATAGAAAGTTTATGTGCTTGGTTCTATTTATTATGAGGACATCCCTTTCTTCGTACCCAACTGTGCTGTGTGAGCTGTTACTTTATTTTTCATCAGTCATTTTCAACATCTTAACTCTCCATGCTTAAAGGCGGCTTAGGCCATGTAGTGAAGTGATGACACTGTTGGAATTCTATATTATTTCTATAACCATTAGCATGGGTTAAGCAAATGTAAGTGAAACATCAATGAGACTATATAACAACACACATTAACAAAAAAATGAACATTATACAATCATACAGCAGCTCAAACACTAAATAGCAACAACGTTAACACACGTAAACTAAAAAATAAACGTATGATACAATCAAACAGCAGCTCAAGCTCTAAATAGCCCAAACAACAACACACTTAAACAAAAAGAAAAACACCATACATTCATACAGGGCTTCCAAAATTATTTTTAGCCAGCCGGACATTTTATATATTATCCCTATTTTAATTCCTCAAGACTAAATAAACAAAAGGCAATTATGGTATTCAGTTGCTGAGTTGGCCATCCCAATGATTGCCATTAAAAAAAAAAACGATATTAAACTTTCTTTGATTCAAATTCGAAGTTCTGACGTAAACTGTTAAATTGGCAGTGCATCATTCGAAGTGTGCAACATCAGCGTACTTATATCTGCCTTAGACTCTTTATTTGTGCAAAATAACGTTGTCAGAAACTTTACATTCGTTAAAATCTTATACCGGATGTTATCTTGACAATGGTAAAACATGGACCAGAGACGGATACGTAAATTCCGTGTACGTTTGCAAAGCATGAATGAGTGTAAGTAGCTCTTTCTACGTTATTTCTTCAAGAAAATATTCGAAATAAACGTGAGATAAAGGTATTAATGACAATTTAAGCATTTTTTGAAGAACTTAGGATGCATAATTAAATTTCACACCTGCGCACACGTGTACTAGTTCAAACAGAGACATGTCTCTGGTTCAAACAACGTGGTTATGACGATTTTTCATTTTCACCTTTTTAATTTTTTCATCAAATCATATTTGTAAACGTATTTCTGATAATTTAAATCTTTTTGACTAAATTAATTAGATGCAAACCGCTGAAATGTAAGAAAATAACTTTGAATAGACTGATCAATGTCCGGTTCAAAATAGTTTACCTGTCACCTGAACAGGTAAATTTCAGCTGTTCGACAACTAATTAGCCTTGATTAAAATGAGAAGGTATTAAAGTAGGGTTTGTTTTGATAGTACTTAATGATCATGTCACTTTTATGACCGGAAATGTGTGGCTGTTAAAGGCAAAAGGTTGGGTCAAAAAGATCGCGAATTATGTTAAAATGACCGTCTCTTATAAGAAAGCCTTGAAAACTAAAAAGTAGATGACCGTTTCATGCTTTGCCCATCCGGACTTTTACCGGACATTATACAAATGTCCGGAATATATGGCCGTTTTGGAAGCCTTGCATTCATACAGCAGCTCAAGCTCTAAATAGCCAAGACATTATACACAAAAAAAAATAAAAAAATAAATGATACAATCATACAGCAGCTCAGGTTCTAAATAGCTAAGACATTATCATACATAAACTAGAAATAAACATGATACAATCAAACAGCAACTCAAGCTCAAAATTGCCAAGACAACAACACACATAAACTAGAAAAAAAACATCCTACAATCAAACAGCAGCTCAAGCTCCAAATAGCCAAGACATTAACACACATATAAAACTAAAAAATGAACATCATACAATCAAACAGCAGCTCAAGCTCTAAATAGTCAAGACAACAACCCACATTAACTAAAAAATAAAAATTATACAATCAAACAGCAGCTCAAGCTCCTAATAGCCAAGACATTAACTCACATATAAAACCAACAACTAAACATCATACAATCATACAGTAGCTCAAACTCTAAATACCCTAGACATTAACACACAAAAGCTAAATAATAAACTCCATACAATCATACAGCAGCTCAAGCTCTCGATAGCCAAGACATTAACACACATAAACTAAAAAATGAACATTATACAATCTTACAGCAGCTCAAGCTCTAGTTAGCCAAGACATTAACACACACAAACTAAATAATAAACATGATACAATCATACAGCAGCTCAAGCTCTCGATAGCCAAGACATTAACACACATAAACTAAAAAATGAACATTATACAATCTTACAGCAGCTCAAGCTCTAGTTAGCCAAGACATTAACACACATAAACTAAAAAAGTATGACACAATTATACAGCAGATCAAGCTCTCACTAGCCAAGAAATTAACACACATAAATTAAATAATAAACATGATGCAATCATACAGCAGCACAAGCTCCCACTAGCCAAGACATTAACACACATAAACTAAATAAGTATGACACAATCATACAGCAGCTCAAGCTCTCAATAGCCAAGACAACAACACACATAAACTAGAAGATAAACATCATACAATCGAACAGCAACTCAAGCTCCAAATAGCCAAGACATTAACACACATATAAAACTAAAAAATGAACATGATACAATCAAACAGCAGCTCAAGCTCTAAATAGTCAAGACAACAACCCACATAAACTAAAAAATAAACATTATACAATCAAACAGCAGATCAAGATCCTAATAGCCAAGACATTAACACACATATAAAACCAACAACTAAACATCATACAATCATACAGTAGCTCAAACTCTAAATACCCTAGACATTAACACACATAAACTAAATAATAAACACCATACAATCATAGAGCAGCTCAAGCTCTCGATAGCCAAGACAATAACACACATATAAACTTAAAATAAACATTATACAATCTTACAGCAGCTCATACTTTAAACAGCCAAGACATTAACAAACATATTAAACTATAAAACTAAACATGATACAATCATACAGCAGCTCAAGCTCTCAATAGCCAAGAAATTAACACACATAAACTAAAAAAAAAACATGATACAATCATACAGCAGCTGAAGCTCTTGATAGGCAAGACATTAACACACATAAACTTAATAATAAGTATGACACAATCATACAACAGCTGAAGCTCTCGATAGCCAAGACATTAACACACATAAACTTAATAATAAGTATGACACAATCATACAACAGCTGAAGCTCTCGATAGCCAAGACATTAACACACATAAACTAAATAAGTATGACACAATCATACAGCAGCTCATGCTCTCGATAGCCAAGACATTAACACACATAAACTAAATAAGTATGACACAATCATACAGCAGCACAAGCTCTCTATAGCCAAGACATTAACAGACATAAACGAAATAAGTATGACACAATAATACAGCAGCACAAGCTCTGGATAGCCAAGACATTAACACACATAAACTAAATAATAAACATGATACAATCATACAGCAGTTCAAGCTCTCACTAGCCAAGATATTAACACACATAAACTAAATAATAAACATGATACAATCATACAGCAGTTCAAGCTCTCACTAGCCAAGACATTAACACACATAAACTAAAGAATAAACATGATACAATCATACAGCAGCTCAAGCTCTCACTAGCCAAGACATTAACACACATAAACTAAATAATAAACATGATACAATCATACAGCAGTTCAAGCTCTCACTAGCCAAGATATTAACACACATAAACTAAAAAATAAACATGACACAATCATACAGCAGCACAAGCTCTCACTAGCCAAGATATTAACACACATAAACTAAGAAATAAACATGATACAATCATACAGCAGCTCAAGTTCTCGATAGCCAAAACAATTTTATATTGAAATCCATAGAGACAAAAAAACACAATGAATCAACACATTTATTTTTTTCGTATTGACAAAAGTTAGGCACAGCAAATAGTGACATGGATTCCTGACTTGAAAAGTGGTATTTGATGTTTCTCTGTTAAGCAAGTGGTTTAGGAAAGTAAAAGCATACTTTCAGCTTGTAGTCAGAATTAGTAGTCTGGGTAGAGTGGCATGTCATACTTCATATTCATATCATATTTACATGTTCTTATCCAGGTATGCATGTTATAATTTCCACTGAACATTAAACACCAATTATTCATCATCATCATCCCTCTTCTCATCTCAACTTAGTGATTATTGGTTTCTTTATACCCAAGAGCATATTCATCTTCTTCAAACATGATTCTGGCCTGTAATTTTTTTGATCCCATAATTCCTTTTAAATAATTTTAATGCTATGTCCACTAAATGCATTGACTTCTCAGACAAATGAAATAATTGGGTTTTTACTTTAGCTGTTGCGCTAGGGAGCTTCAAACTCAGCTTTCGTGAAATCTTCATTTTGATTGGTTTACCAAAACATTTTGGTAAAGTTTTAACCCTTTGGAAAGAACATCTGTTTCAAAAACAATCATCTAATGAATTCATATAATGCAGACGTGATCTGATACATGTAAGTGTACCTCATAAAAATTGTATTGGTGCTACATGTAATTGAAACCAAGATGCCTGGATAATTATTTGATTGTCGAAGAGATATTGTACAATGTACAAGCTTATGAGTTTTGGAATAAGAAAAATCTATACATCAATTTTTTATTTAGGTGAGAAGATAGATAAAGTTCAAAGTTTAAATTCACATATGCAGTCAATTATTGACAGCAAGGCACAGCTACTGACCAGATTGCAACAGCCATATGTTGGAGAATTCATTAAATTAGAAGCACAGTATCACAGGTACGTCATAATAAGATTTGTTTTATTTTTGTTGGATTTAAATGCTAGCACCATGGTTATATAATGGTGGTCAGTTTTTATTTGTGGAGGAAGCTTGAATTCTTCAGAGAGAGAACCACTGACCTTCAACAGTAAGTCATAAATTGAGACGGGCAATCTCAAGAGTTGTTGTGGAGGGTTATATAAAACATTTTCATGGGGAAAAAATCTGAAAATATGTATTACACAACTACCTTATCTACATCAGCTCTCAAGCATGATGTTGATTATTGTCATGAAAGGGACTTTAGATTTTTTATTATTATTGCACACAAATATTGTTCCTCTATGAAAACATGTATTATATTGCAAGACCTTGTGATAAATATTGCACAGTAACTTTTCAATATGACCAACAGACAATATTATGTTGCTAAACAATAAGTTTAAATATCAGTTCATAATCATGGTACTTTCAACAGCACTGTAAGACTACATGTTAACTTATTCTTATTGAAGACAAGTGCCAATTGTAGGGGTAGAATTTTGGGGAAATGAAGAACATTTGAATTTTAAATTTTCTGTCCAAATTTGATGAAAGGACCATATGAATTACATATGGTAGAATATGTTTGTTTCCTACATTGTATTTTTAATCACCCCCTCCAATTTTTTTTCTTCTAACCCAAATGAGCAACACAGACTTTTAATACATTTGTAGCCTTGCTGGTCATTGCTTGTACTAATGAAAAGGTCTAAGACGAAACTTATTCTGTAAATGTTCTTGTATATTTATTTGAGGTGTGCAGCTTTCCTATCAGACAAAATATTTTTGATGTTATGAACCCCCCCCCCCCCCCAAAGATAGAATAAAGAATCCACATTTATTACTGTATTGAATCCATGCTATACAGATACTTATATTTGTGAAATTTAGACAATTTGTTATTGTTTGATCGTTGCTTGCTTAATGCCCAGTGGCAAATGTTTCATGCATTTTCAGGAAGATAAACAATTTTAATGTAAATTCATACCTCTGGAATATTATTTAGAAAATATGCATCACTAAAAAAAATTAAAACAACATGTTACAAATTTCATGTGTCAGAAGCTCTTTTCTGGATTTACCTTCATCAGGAATGCTCAAAGTAAAATATTTGAAAGCCAAGGATGTATAAGAACCGAAACAGTTGAAGAGCTGTATGACCAAATAATAATCAATTGCCTTTTGTATTTCAGATATGCAAGTGAATTTCTTCCCCAGATAGCCCCATTATTAGCAGATCTTAGTACACATTTAGATAATATATCATGGATGAAATTTCTTACATTACCAGATTCAAAAATGGTAGGTATGAAACTTGCATGCATTTATATTTCATGTAACATAATAAATATTTAGAATATTTTAAAAATACATGTATTGTCATTCTTGTCAAATTTGAGAGTTGAGTATTTTAAAAGGGCTGTTCCAAAATTTATCGGGTTGGGGGATGGGAGGCACTCAAATTAATATAAATAAAGCTATGCATATGTGGTGTATTATATTGTTTTAGTTATTTCATTCAAACGAATTAAGGTAATGTTAAATCAGTGTTATATTGAAAAAAATTGCAACATAGATTTTTTTTATCAAAATCTTATTCGGAGATACACTTATTGCAATAGATTATTTTTCAGCATTTTCCCCAAAAAAGTTTATAAAATAGAACAGTATAAAACTCACACAATAATGATAATTTTAAGAAACAATATATAACTGAGTCATACAGCAAAGTTAATTTCAATTATTTCATTTTATATTTGTTTCAACTTAAATGATTTTCATTGTTTAGTTATAGAGATATAGACTTTTATAACATGAAGAAAATTTTGCTTAATTTTTTACATAAACCTTGTATTTCACAAGTGCAATCAGTTATGGTACAAAAAAAAAAGATTTAAAGCAGATGTAATTGATATCCTTTTTGAAATGTTTTTGATACAAAAATATCATAAAATGCTTGAAAATAAATCAGATATTAGAAAATAAACATGCATCAGGGTATTAATGATTTAACTGCTGTTCTTCGTCTTGTTTATAGCAAGAATGTCCATTACAAAGCAAATGAGTTTCAGAATACTAATTCAACAATCAAAATAATACACCACTATGTGAACCATTTTTCTTTCATAATAAACAACATTTCATTTTTCAGGATAACATGCTAACAGAATTAGGTAGTACGTTAGCATCATTACAGACCACATTCCAATCCTTGTGTCAGATGAGAAACAGTATGACCAATGTATATTCTCACCAAGCTGTAGACTAATGATGCAATGCCTGAAAATCATTTTTTTTTAAAGTTATCACACACAGATTTATGTATATGTTTTTATTAAAATATTTTTTTATTACATTGTATGTTTTAACAATAACAATCCTATTGTTACACATGTACATATCCATTCTTTGTTTGTATTCTTACTGAATCTTTTTATGGTGAAAATTTTCTTTTGATGATGTTCATGAGAGGACAACGTGCTTGATTGCAAATTCAATTATTTTTCGATAAAATTGAGAATGGAAATGGGGAATATGTCAAAGAGACAACAACCCGACCAAAGAGCAGACAACAGCCGAAGGCCACCAATGGGTCTTCAATGCAGCGAGAAAATCAGCACCAGGAGGTGGTCCTCAGCTGGCCCCTAACTAAAATTGTGTGCTAGTTCAGTGAAAATGGACGTCACACTAAACTTCAAAACATATAAATAAACTAAAATTAGAAACATACTAGACTAACAATTGTCTGATTGTATATTTTAATGACATTACTCTAAACCAGATGTTGTAACATATATGTATTTACAACCTTTCGATGCCATCATACATAGGTGCATTCAATCAAGAAAACTCTATGATATTTTTTGTAAGATTACAACCCTTATTTGTTGCTATAATCAGTACCGAAAAAATAAAAATACATTTAAACACAAGTCAGAAGGCAATAAAACTAAAATTTCAATATGAAATAAACAAAATGAAGTCATTAAAAGTTTAATTGATACTCCACTTCAAGCTAATACCTGTTTATAAGTATGTCTTCATCAGCTGATCACTTCTAAGGTTTCATTAAACATAACAAAAAGCAAATATCTGATTCAAAACAATGTCAAACAGATACATAAGATCACAACAGGAAGAATTATAGAAGTTGTATACAAAGGATAAGCTTTGTTGTTCAGTTGTCCCTTTTTTACATAGGTAGGCTGTTCCTCAATGCTGGGGGCTTTTAAAGTCACCTGATCATTGTGGAATTTATATTTGAATTTGTAAAAATCTCACAATTTTACAGATATTCTTGTAGTGTCGCCTTAAAACTCATCCTTAGTTTCTGAAGGATAGAGCTCAAAGGTCAAATAACCATATATCAATTTCAGTTTATTCTTATTTGTGTGTTTGACAATCTTAATTTTACCATAGGCTTGGTGTTGATACATCCCAATGTATTCTGTTTGTTTTCTTGTTGTTTTTCTGTCTTTTGGATAGTTAGGTTTTACTATTGGTATGTCAGATTTTAACCATGGTTCAGGATAAGTACATATGGTTGATGTATTTAGATATGGGATATGACCAGTGTACACATCAAATATATAATTATGTAATGTTAGTCTGTATAAGTAATTTGGATCATTTCCAGTAAATGCTACAAAAATGCCAATATCAGCCTCAGGGTACCAAGATATCATTGCTCTATATCCCCATGTTGAGCCAGTATGGACAACCATTCTGTACCCTAAAATAAGGAAAATTGAGAATAACTTTGGAGTGAAATGTTTTATAATGGCTACAGGTTGTGTTTTGTGATATTAGCTGATACGACCAAGCATATACAAATTTCCATTAGATTTCTGATTAATTTTATCTCTTTTAATCACACATTTATGTGAGCTCTTGTCATCACTAAGTCATAGCATCTTGTTCGTCATTACATACTAAGTAAAATCTTTCAATAGAGTCATTGATGAGAGACCTTAGTTTAGTTATTTATACATCCTTGGCTCTCAAATGTTAGGGTTTTAGCATTCCTGATGAAGGTTTAACCAGAAGAGTGATTCAGACACATGAAATTTACAAAGTTTTATTTTCTTATTTTTTGTTTGTGTGTGCAATTTTATGGTGAATTCTTGGGAGAACTGTCAACTGCACCTGACCCAAGCTAATAGCCTCATTGATGGCTGTATTTGATCTTATCTCTGTATTGGTTTTTTTGTCCTGTAAATGATTTGATCTTATGGTAGATCGTTCATACTAAACATATAGTCAAATTTTATCTACATTTGAAATGATGTAGACTCGACATACCATATAGACACCTGTCTATTGTTGACCACTTAATGTCTTTTCTGGTTCATTAATGTTCTAAAGTTTCTGTTGTATTGATTTCTACCCCACAATTTGTTTTATTCATAATCATAAGGGAAAAGATTTTACTTGTATCCAAGTTGAGCAATGAGAAGAAGGCTGGGCTGTGTTGAATTTTGTCTTAAACCAATGTCCCGTGTTTTGTGAGGCATAATGGTTGGTGTTACTTTTCCAGCAACATATTCAATACCTTATATTAAGATAAACGGTAAATGTCAATGAGACAGCAATCCAACTATTGTTCTGAAGATAAAAGACTTAAATGTATCAGAAATCATCATTTAAGGGACGTAATCACTATTTACAGTCAATAAATGGTTTCAGTCATATTCGTGTTTTTGAAGGTGTAGTATTGCTGATAATTTCGACTGTTTACGCTTTTCTTCAAGCTAATACAGAACTTGCTAAAAATGATTTAAATATCATTGAGTAAGGGCAATACCTCATTGTAAATTTGGTGCATCCCACACGTTTTTCTGTAATTACTTTCATCTGGAACACTCCAACTCAAAAATTTTAAATCCAAAGATATATGAATATTTGACCAAAAGGGACAAAAAAAATAAGGTTATTAATGATATCTAAATTATTGATAAATCAACAGAAAGTCTTCATGTGTCAGTCAAATTTCGAGATTTTTGTAGATCTTGAACTGATGATAAGTTTTTATTAACCTTTTCCATCTATCTATAAAAGTTTTCAAAATATAAGGCAAAAGGATAAACCAGTTGTATGTCACAAACTGCCCTATATGTGCCAAACGCCATATTTAAGTAATAACTGATTGATTGTTTATGTTTAACGCCACTTTCAGCTTTATTGGCTATATCATGTCGGCCAGTTTTTTTATTAGTGGAGGAAGTTGGAGCGCACAGAGAACCAAGACATTTTGGCAGGAAAACTGGTGATCATAGTCAATTAAGATTAGAGTCAAAAGTACCTGTCACATGCGGGGTTCGAACTAACAACCTCAGTGCCGACAGGCTAGTAATAAATGACCTACTTGGACCACTCGGTCACTGGAGGCCCCTATTTCAATAATGAATAATGTGAAATGTGTCAAATTCACCTCTGTTCATTAAATTTTGCTAAATATTAGATGATTTTATCTAAGGAAGTTTCTGAATGAAAATCAGACTATTCTACATCATTAAAGGCCACATAGAATGAACAATGTTAAATAAAGGCAACAATAGTATACCGCTGTTCAATAGTTATACATCGATTTAACTGAAACAAATCCGGGTTACAAACCAAAACCGAGGGAACCACATCAACTATAACAGGAAAACAGCGGAACAACATAAACACTGAACTGCTACAAAAACAAACGACAACATACATAGAAACGGAATATTTAATAAAACTGCCATATTCCTGACTTGGTACAGGCCATTTTAAGAAAAAATGGTGGGTTGAACCTGGTTTTATGGCTTGCCAAACCTCCCGCTTATATGGCAATGTTAAAAATATCGCTAAAATGACAACATTATAACTAAACGCAAGAACACTCAGGACAGAGACATACGTAAATAAATAATATAATAGTACATTACAACACGTAAACCATAGAATAACAACGGACACCTCCCATTTACACCACAATAGAATTATGAACTGTGCGTCACACGAATGTATCAACGCCACAAAAGTGACGTGACAGGTAAATTTCTAAAAAATAGAATATAAAAAATTAGATTAAGTTTGTAATGGTGTTATTTTATGTATTTTCTAACCATTACAAGAATATTCATATAGAATTGTGTTATTAATGGTGTAATTATTTGTATTTTCTAACCGGGTTTTCTTCTAAATCAAAACTGTAAAAACAAATAAATCCTGTGCATATATTAGCTTTAAATTAAAAATCATATAAATGAATTAGCTGATTTGTAAATGTATCAATATGGACGCTTTTAGGGTAGGCGTAAGTAAGACAGCACACCAACTAACAAAGCAGGGTATATTTATATCTCATGTACGTGTTATTCTCCTGAATATGCATGTAATATTTGCTGCTGGATATTAATAAATAATCAATTTATACATATTACTAGAATGTCGAAAATGATGAATGCCAAAAATGTCTCATCATGAAGAATTTCTCATAAGGAAGAGGGCGTCTAACATGACTTGTCTTTTGTTGTTAATAGTTTTGTTTTAAATATCCAATTATTTCACTGGAATGTCGGTTGGGTATTGGACAGACAAAGGTAAAACAAAAAAGAAATGCTCTGACGCTTTCAGCAGTAACATTTAAAAGAGATATTGAGATTATATACACAGTTATCAAATAAGTAGTTTTTGAATGTGTAGTTGCATGACATATACAACTTCTATCCTGATGACAGAGGGTCAGGATGGGGGTCCTTCATTTCTTTATTCTTTAATTTTTAAGACCATTTTTCTCTATTATCTATTCATTTTGCCAATTATTTTTCTTTATTTTTTGGGTTTTTTTTTACCTATTTTTCTCTATTCTTTATTTTTTAGGACCTTTATTCTGCATTTTTTGCTCATTATTCTCAGTCTTTTCTGTAAACCCCATCCAGACCCTCATGACATATTTCTTAGAATACTTGCCTCTATAATATCCAGTTCTCCAACCCAGTGCATAGTTGTTTTGAATATTCGTTACTGGTATTTCCGGCATGGAGAAGTGTTTGTGGGTGTAAGTATATGGTATTGTATTTACAGAGGTTGTTATGTCTTTAAAGGCCTGTTCTGAAATCAATCTGGTGTCGTTTTGAAGCTTTCCCCAATTTAGAAAGAAACGTGTCCTCTTAGACATGTCATTGGCAGTAGAAAGTATGCACCTGCTCCACATATTTCACCGTATTGCCTGAAACAGATTATGTATTGCAACAAGTCAATATCTAATTGCCCAACTTACTGTTTTTATTCCATTCACATCTTATAAATTTATGTCGAAGTTTAGTAATTTTCTTGTTGGCTTGCTAAGGGCTAAATCAGTAATGACATTCATAGACCCTTCATATGTATATCCTAAAATCTGGAATATTATCTGGTAGGTTTATTTCCACGCCGTTTTATTTTTACCGTTTTAAAAAATATTTTAGCATCATAATGTATATTTATAACTCCCAGACAATGAACCTTTAATAATATCACAGTAGTTACTATTCAGTGTCGCATATAGAGGTTGAAAACAAATATAGTTGATGCACAAGCATTTTATCATTCATATATATTTGTTTTATTTTTTTATCAAAATAAAAAGGTGCTCAGCTCCATTCCTTTTCCAAATCCTGTATCCGCCGATGAAACTACCATTTTCAGTAAAACTACATATTGTCTAGCTTATGTCACTCAATTTTATGAATAGATAATAACACTTGCCTTGTAAAGTTATATTGAACCGGATGGAGTTCACCGTAATATTCGACGTATCAATTTGCCAACAAAATCTTTACTAGGTCTGCTGTTGTAACAAATGTTGTTATTATCTCAGCAAGACGGGTGACGACTCCATACATCAAATTATTGTACATGTAACTACCTCTAAAAACACCCTCTGGTTTAAGATATTTAAGTCGACTGAAAAATATAGCATGTTCCTTTAATTTCCTTATTGATTCAAATTCAAAACTGAAGATGTGGGATGAAAGCCATTGCCCTGGGACAACTATCCACCAGAGACAAAATATTCGTAGATGTAAGATTTGCGAAGAGATGATATTATGCGCGATTTTAATTGATAATTTCATTCCGCTTATCAAACTTTTTTTTATAAAACTTTTTGTTCTTACTTAAATGTTATAAACCTCACATACAATCAATGATTACTATAAAGATCCTTGGTACTATATACTAGAAGTTGGCTATTGTTGTCTATCAATCTTTCTTTACCATAATGTTGTACTTACGCTACTAGATTTTTCCGGGTAAGATCACTGTCAAATCTCATCCCATGTTTCGGGATACCTGTTTTGTGGGACAGCAAATCTCGTAGAGTGATATACTAGTAGTTGGATCTTAAACTGTCGTAGAAAATCTCCTTTCAAAGTAGAATTTTCTTTAGTCTTGTATCCAAGATATAGCTGTTTAATGGAGTTATTTTAAATGTGTAAACAATTATAGTGTAGTACAACAAGCTTCAATGGCTAGATCACCTATAGAATATATCATCAATATTTTTTTAATCCGTTTGATCAACTGATCTTTCCAAAATGATATATCATAAATAGTTATCCAATTTAATTTTGTTAGGACTTTTCAAAATATGTCATTTCAAACACGCCTGGCCAACAGGGCAAGTGTGAGCTTTCCCCATCACTTGTCGTCCGTTGTCTGTCGTCGTTGTCCGTTAAATGTTACAAAAATATTGTCCCCTGAAACTACTGAGCTAAA